CAAAATAAGGCTGTAAATATAGCACTTCTAAATCAACAAGGATACGGCATAGATCTACACTCAACTCTTGGTATCTCAGAGGCAAACCATATCGTACGTACACTCCTAAGGAGCTGATGAAGTATTTACGCTAATATGTTGACTGAGTTAATAATCGTTGTAGTAGAAGAAGTAGTAGAAGTAGGAACAGTAACAGTGGTAGTTGAAATAATACATCCCCATTTTACCTCGCACGTCCCCAGATTTTCACGGACAATATGTTTGTTTGTTGTTGCTCTCAGCAATTTTCCAGCTATATGGCATGGTCTATAAATAGTCAGGTCTGAACCAGACAATCCAGTGATTGACATCCTGAGCACTGATCCACTCAATTATGGTAGTGGTTGTAGTAGTTTTAATAGTAGTAGTAGTAGTAGTAGTAGTCATTGTCTTTGCGGTAGAAGTAGTGATTATGTGTTTCGGTCACTAAAATCTAATTTACACCCTTGCATGATAAGTGGCAAGAAAGGTAGAAGCCTACTTATTCTATAAGTACAATCATCAATTAATGTTTCATGATACTGACAATTATTACTGTATTAGTTTGCAACAAGATGCTCTGAAATAACATGAGTCGACTTCAATTGCACATAAAAATAAGGAGGGAAAAGCAAGAAAAACAAAGACGTATATGTATAACAAGAAAAACTCTAAAAAGAAACATCACATAAATCCGAAGAAATAAGCATCTGCAATTCTGGCAGCAGATAAATCAAACACTATGTTCATGGCAACTAATATCTCTCACAAACAGAAGTTATTCACTGCATTGAATTCTGAAGTACAATTACAAGCACACCAAGTCATCTCTGCCAATACTCTAGTAACAGATGAGCAAGCCATACCACGGCGATGAGGGAATACTGAACTGTGTCCTTGGAAGGTGAAGAGCAACACAAAACTTGGGCCCTAAAGCAGGGATTCCCTTATGACAAGCCATGTGCAATTTGCTAGACAAAATACACTGAATAATGCCATTTTTGACTATATGTCTCTTGGTATGGATGCCCTCGGGGTATATAGCACATGGGCATCTATACCAAAATGACATATACTAACCATCAAAACTTTAGACTCAAGAGTGTAAAGGTAGTCAATTACTTCAACCAACTGTTCTGAACTAGATTTTGACAAATATTCCATACTGTGTAAAGGTACTGTATACACATGAACTGATGTATTGTAAAACAAATTCGTAACGTTGAACAAATTATTTTCATGAGTTCAATCAATCATGAAACTCAGCGAAAATTGGTGAATTCTTAACAAAACTTTACACCAAAGAGCAGCTGTTCACATGCACAATATTTGCACATGCTTTTCAGGAAATGGCTGCATGATCCTTGCGCAATTCTTCTGCATAAGGAGTGTAGTTGGTTCCCCCAAGTTTGTGGAAAAATTCATCTTCAATGTAACCGTATATATATACATAAACATATAGTGAGTGCTTTAAGTGAGTCTAAACTTTTGATGGGTAGTATATATACCGAGATGGGCATCTATACCACATGGATATATATATCCTATGGGCATCTATACCTAAATGATACATATACCACAAGGGCATCTATGCCAAAAGGACACATATATACCACATGGGCATCTTTACCAAAAGGACACATATACCACATGGGCATCTTTACCAAAAGGACACATATACCACATGGGCATCTTTTCCCAAAGGACACATATACCACATGAGCATCTTTTCCCAAAGGACATATTCCATACAGAAATATACCACAGGGAAGTATTAACAACATCTGTACCATGTACAGTTAAAGGACACATATACACCTGCACCACATGTGCAGCTACAGCTACAGCCATTCATTACTGTGCATATATTACCAGTGGAGCACATAATAACCATTTTCCTTGTTTTCTCAATATATGTAGCACTCTTTTTTATATTATATGACCAAATATATGATGATATTATGATCAACCAATGAAACTGCTCTCCTTACATTTTGACTATATTTGCTTAACCAGCCACATTCAAAAGAAGGAGTGATCCCACAAAAATCAATATCTTGACTTCAGGTGAAAATATTATATCTTCAAAATAATCAATATTCTCCAAAATCAATGATCATAATGCAGACAAATCAAATTACTAGAAAAGATTAATGATACCAATCTTTTCTCATTTCAATTGAAACATGTCATTCCTACTGTCCCAATCTTATCATACCTTTTCAAGCACATGTCAGACCTGGGTCCACAAAGAGATTGTAGTGCTACAACTGCCACAAGGCTATGTTAAAATATGGGAGTAATAAACATCTTAGTGCAATAGTAGAGTAGGACATTTTGAAAAACATAATTTCACGCCATGAAATTGCTGGAACCCATGGCATATACTTTGTTCTGAAATTTGTCATCTGCGTTTAACAAACAAATGTTGTTCCCAAAACTCCATCCCTTGGACAAATTTGAAATAGTATGCAAGACTGATAGAGTTATATCACCTACAGCACTAAATATTTTGCTGAAATGAAAAGAATAAATTCCAATCTGCATTAAGATTATGACATATTTTTAGTTCCTCCAGATTGGTTGGAATTGACACAATAATACAACAATAAGCATCATGGACATTAATATGCCAAAGTAATCATATTATGGCCATCTTTAAATCTTTCTGGTTAACAGATCAACCAACTGGAGCTCACAGACGAACCCATCAGAAAATGGACACCACTTAACCCGCCATGAATTGTGAATGGAAAATAACATGCAAAAATCACCTGCTTGTAAATTTTATAATAAATTGTATATTTATATACTTATACTAAAACAACAACAAAAAAAATGTCCAAACATTAGTTCAAGCATTGTTTGACTCTGGTCATTGCAACCACTGGTGTAGTGGACAGTGTCCACTCGTTTGATACCTTGGCCATGGATGGTAGATCTCTTCACACTTAGTATTAGGGAATACGAGAATGAATGGTTAGCTTAGAGGTATCCATGTTGAATGCAGCATGGTATCTCAGTGGCTAGCACTATAAAGCCAACAAAAGTTCAGCATAGACAGATAAACACACAAACAGTGACACACACTTCGCTATTTAACCCTGAACACCACCTTAAACCCTTGCCGATTTTGATTTGAGTTAACCACTTGCATAGGGCACTAGAACCTATCATGATCTGCAAGTCTACCACAGTTTACCTTAAGCTGTTTGAGCCTATACCAACCTGCACTCCTAACCAACAGTACCAACTGTATGAGGGACTAGAGATCTGGGCAAGTGCAAGCACCTGCACACACACGTACACATCTCTTGCATAGTACACAGTAAGTGCAATAATCATTAGTGGGAGTGAGTGAGTGAGAGAGTTCAGTTTTATGCCGCTTTTAGCAATATTCCAGCAATAGCATGGTGGGGGACACCAGAAATGGGCTTCACACATTGCACTCATGTGGGGAATCGAACCCAGGTCATCGGCATAACGAGCAAATGCTTTAACCAACCCCTTTAGTGGGACATTACTAGCCATCTCAGCTACCACCGAGACCACAATCTTCTATTTAGTTTTTTAGGTCCTCTTCAGTTTGAACATGAAGCTTAGCACACCCACACAATGTCATACCAAAAGATTACAAATCACCATAATGCCAGAAGAAATCTGTAAACCACAAAATCAAGAAGTATGGTCCAAGTATTATTTAATATAAACATAATTAACAGACCCTGTAAAGTATTACGCAAAATAACATTAATACTGTAATCAGATCCATGAAAACAAAGCACCTTAGAATAATCACCAACGATTAGTGTAATATAGTGCATAATAATACATAGTTAATTCATAACTGAGGGTGTTGTGGTAATGGAATGACTAATGTTTGACAAATCAATAAACATTACACAATATTTCTCGTATCAATACTTTCAAGCAAAATATATTTCAGATCAAATTAATATAAATATAAAATTAAACTGATTTAATAGAAATCACAGTCTTAAACCTTTGTTCACATGTCATGTATCTTTAATGAACAAGGTGTGAATGAGAAATACAATTTTTACATGTTTCCATCAAATAACATCTTGTATAACATGTACTATTCAACATATATTTGCAATTGATAAATTGTCTCATATAAGCTTATAATGTCTTACAGGATATGTTACATTCTTATTTCTGGTTCCATCTTGTAATCATACAAGCAGGATATTGAGCATAAAATATGTTATTATGACACATACATGATTTCATGAAAATTGCTGTCATACATACTATCGCTATCTCCAAATATTACACAACAGCATGGGTAAAACATTCCAATAAACATGGTTGAACATTCAATTGTACTGTCCTCTTTTGCAGTTATACAACAATATCAGAATTATTTCTAGATACATATCATGTCTTAATCATGTCATCAAAACATAAAAAGAACTAAAAGTCTGTTAAAAATCTACATTACCCAGAGCTACAGATAACGTTTTGGGTCATTGAGTTATGTACTCGCTTGTGGTCATGTCAATTGGGTATCCTAATTTTCCTTTGAGTAACCAAATAAATTGTACCCACCTCACTCAAACTCAATTGGGTATTTTGTCACTTTCCATTAATTGTTAAAAGATAATAAAGTTTTAAATGTTAGTGTTTGTTATTTATATTTGATCTGTAATATGAGACACGATAAGAGAGACTGCAAGTTGCCAAGTTCATGTCCTGAAATAGAACCTCTCAATACCTCAGTTATTGTATCTATCCACCGGTACGCAAGCTAAGATTTGACACTTTTGTGTGTACGCATGTAACATCACATCTATTGAGTATTTACAAAATTTCAAGCGTACTTGTACGCAATAGACTTAATAGGAATTGAGTTTTCGCATAAATATTTGCGTAATTTACGCAGATACGCAGCTTATCTGTACCTCTGATTACCTGTCAAAATCTAAGTCATTTACACCTCAAAGCAATGTTTTCCTTTCTTTATATCAAATACCATTATATCAACCAATAATTAATTCTTGAATTATTTCCTAGAAAAACAACCATATTTTATTTGTGAGGGAAACTTCACTCCTTAATCCTATATTTCTAAGCCATAAATTGAGAGTTCTCTCCCTTTAGTTTTTTCCTCCGCTTGTGTGGGGGGGATCTCCCTTACTGCTGACCAAACACTTCCCGTTTAGCCTTGAAAGCTTGTCGTCTTTCTTTGGCTTCTTCTGCTTCTCGTTTCTTATCCTCCTGCTCTTGGCGGATCTCATCCTCAAATTTGCTCTGAATAGTTTGTGTCTTGATCTGCAAAGAGAATGAGAACTTTGTCATATTTGACTCAGAATGTCAACAGGAAAAGTGCAACATTTCGTTGCTGATATTATATCCAGAGGTACAGATAAGCTGCATATCTGCATAAAATACGCAAATATTTATGCGAAAACTCAATTCCTATTATGTCTATTGCGTACAAGTATGCTTGAATTTTTTTAAATATTAGTACTCAATAAATTTGATCTTGGATGCGTACACACAAAAATGTCAAATCTTAGCTTGTGTACCAGTGGATAGATGAAATAACTGAGGTATATTGAGAGGTTCCATTTCAACACATGAACTTGGCAACTTGCAGTCTTTCTTATTGTTTCTCATATTACAGATCAAATATATATAACAAACATGTAAACCAGCATTTAAACTTGACTGTATTTTTTACAATTTATGGAAAATGGCAAAATACCCAATTGAGTTTGAGTGAAGTGGGTACAATTTATTAGGTTACTCAAAGGAAAATTAGGATACCCAATTGAGATGAACACAAGCGAGTACATAACTCAATGATCAACAGGTTATCTGTAGCTCTGTATATCTATTTATCTATACTACACACACTTTGCTAAGGATCACCAAAATTCACAACTTTACTTAAACGTAGGTGTATAATTTGAAATTGTGTCCATTTAAAACTGGATAGATAATCATATGGCAACCTCTATTAGGCAAACAGTCACTTTAATCTAACCTTATGCACTTGATACATGAGTAACCATAAAAATGGTTTTCATGGCACCAATCAACCATTTTTCAAATCATGGAACGAGTCATTGACAAGTACATAACACCTGTCAATAGCAGGTATGGGTTCCACAAGATGAAATGACATACTGAAATCTAGGATCCATGCTTACAATAAGCTTGGGTATTTAAACCAAATATGACCCCACATCATAATTTTCCGTTGAATCTATTATTTGATCCTTAGCAAAGTGTGAATAGTATATGTACTACACACACTACCGAGCATGAAGCATTCAATTTAAAGAATTCTTTCTCAGTTTCTGACAATAAGCTTTTGAAATTGAGTGAATATGGTTTTAGTAACATTCCAGCAATATCATGGTGGAGAGCATAAGAAATAGACATCACATGTCATACCCATGTGAGCAAATGAATGCTTTGAACACAAGTCTACCTTACTACCAAACATAAAATTTTATACTATTTTACAGGACATTATATCTACCATTTGTCTGATTGGGGATATTTCAACTGAAACTGACCTAGACATTGTGCCTGTTATTAAAACCTCCTAGCTTAACACACATAATTCCCTGTGTATTTCAGCCAAAATGAAATTAAACAAAATGAACTAATATAACTATACAACAATCCTACATACTTCATGACTGATTATCCAAGCTGTTGATTTAACAAACATATCAGTACTGCTGACTTATTAAAGAATGTCAGCCTTGCTGATTTAGCAAGAACATAAGAGCTGCTGAATCAGCAAGGACATTAGAACTGCTAACTTAGCAAAGAACATCAGAATTGCTGACTTAGCAAGAACATAACTGCTGAATCAGCAAGGACAAAGAACTGTTGACTTAGCAAGAACATAATACCTGCTGACTTAGCAAGAACATTAGAATTGCTGACTCAGCAAGAACATAACATTTCAACAACTGCCAAGAACATCAGAATTGCTGACTTAGCAAGAACATAAGACCTGCTGATTTAGCAAAGAACATCAGAATTGCTGACTCAGCAAGAACAAAACAACTGCTGAATCAGCAAGGACATAAGAACTGCTGACTTAGCATGTACTGTAAATCATGAAATTAATGCGTCACGAATTTAATTTGAGTCGCGAGGGTCTAGTCTGAAATGCGCCACAAAATTAATGCGAGCTCAGGAATCTGTGTTGATGATAAAATGAATTGAGCTTGTTAAGCAATGAATGGAAATGAGCTGACTATGTTTTGATTACGCTGCCATGTTTGATCACATGACTGCTTGCTACTACTTGTCTTGTACAACATGTATAAACGTAATCCGACTTGAAAGACACAAGTCATCTACCCAGGTACAACTAACAAGTGGCTGGAGAATGTCCGGCCTGGCTGATCTGCTTGAGTGACTTTAAACAATGACCAGTGACTGTAACCAGTGATAATTACATGTGGCTTGACTGACTCAGTCTGGTTTTACGTCGCTTATAGCAATATTCCAGCAACATTATGGCAGGGGACACCAGAAATGGGCTTCACACATTGTACCCATGTGGGGATTCGAACCCGGGTCTTTGGCGTGACACATGTGGTTTGAGATACCTGTCATGAGGAAGTGACCTGTATTGATGTAATGTGTAGTGTCAACAGATTTACGTTTTCTGTCTTTTATAAGTAGACATGGTCAGACTGAAATGCTTCATCATAAGAATGCAAGAAGAGTACAGACACATTTTTCACCTTAATAAAATGCTGGCATTAATTTCATGATTTTCAGTACATAAGAACTGCTAACTAAGTAGCAATATAAGAACTGCTGACCTAGCAAGTACATAAGAACTGTCATGTTGGCAACAATAGCAATAGCAAGAAAATTTCTACTACTAACAAAGTTACCTTAGCTTCGAAGAAGTCCTTGGCTCCTAGGACTCCTGTCTCATCAACATCTATCTCAGAGACGTTGGCATACAGTTCGTACAGACCGCTACCCTCATCTAGCTCACCAGCAGCAGCCTTGCGGAATATCAGCAGGAACTGCAGGGATATTGGAATTATGGGATATATTGGGGTTGTGTTTTAAAGAAGCTACATTACTACTACATTGAGTAGTTACGACATGATTGGGGATGTTTCCTACTATTTTACACCAGGTGAAATAAAAAAAAAAAATTACAACTGGAATTAAGTGAGGAGTTATATGACCTTGCTTAAACACAGTGAAACCGACATGTGATGATGAAATAAAAGCCAGATAAATCTGTAAAAAATTGCCTGAGGTAACAATTAATCATGCCTTGCCACCTCTGCCTCCACAGACAAACACCAGACTCTGCATGACAAATAAGCATGACACACCTTTCAGTTTCATGTTCAAGGTTGTTATTTCTACACAAATACCTAACACATAGGAAAAAGAAAGCAAAGCTTTTGCAATGTTTCCTTCTGTCATATTTTATAAAGGCACTAAATCACACTTCTCTAAAAATAAATAATGCATTTCTCTCAATAATATAAACTGTAGGAAAGCTACCATATATAATTTTTTTAGGCCAGACCAATTCTATTTCTTGTTTCATGGATTTTTGTCCACAGAAAACCTAAAGGCAGGAGGGAAAAAATAAAAATTAATTCATTTTCCCTGCTCGAAAAGAAAACCCAAATCTTTTTTATTGGCCAATAATATAAACTTACAAGAAAAAATTAATTTTTTTAGATTGTTTTTTTGCCCCATATACACTTCATAAATTGCCAAAAGTAAAATACTTTGAGTATTTAGAAGGAATATTACCTTGACTGGTGATTTTATTTTTATGTGAGTGAGTGAGTGTGATGGTGGTTGGAAACAGGAGAGGGGGGAAATGACATTGTGGATATCAGCATCAGTATTTTGAGGAACACAACATTTTGGAGTGTATTCTTGTATTTCCCTCCACAGACACATTGTACTGACACCTCAGCCAGTCAGTACTTTCATTCCCATCATGCCAAGCACCAGGCAGGATAACAACAAGTTGCACATTTTAATGGCTTTTTATCCACAACACCATAAAGGTAGATGAACAAAATGGAAAGCGTTAAAATATGATGTAGGTACTTCTCTGAAGCTGATCTTGGAGTCCTTGTCCTCATCCACCTCATTAATCATGTTCTTAAGGGAGACATGGGTCTGGGGTGCTCCAAGCTTCTCCATCATCAGCTTCAATTCCATCAAGTCAATAAACTTGTCATCGTTCACATCGTACCTGTAAAAGAGGTTGATGATGGATAAATTGAGACATTCCCTCAAGAAGGCAGCTTGGAGCCTCAGATGAGTGAGTTAAGTTTTACGCTGCTTTGAGCAATATTCCAGAAATATCATGAGGGGAATCAAAACAGGTCTCCAGATTGATAAGTGAACACTGAACCACTTGGCTTCCTTTGTGTTTTGAAATTTACCAGAAGTGATAGGAGGCAGCAGAAGTATGGGGTAGTTTGGTTTGGATGTATTTTTTCGTGTGTGCTTTTACATTATGTCTGATAAATTGCCGAAAATGGTCTTTTTCAAGTTGATAAATTGAAGACTTTTAAAATCATATTCATACACAGTACATCATCTGAACATTGACTTGACATTAGTTAAAACAATTTCAGCATGGCACACTCCTATAGTTTCGCATGAAATGCATGTGGACCCGGTTTTTTGTAAATATCTCTTCATCCAATGACCCAATCGATCTCAAACTGCGCAAGTGGATGTTTTGTCAGACAACCTAATCACATTGTAAATCACCGATTTTATGCATTTGTATTAAAGAAACTGTCTATGTAACTGTCAACAAAATAAACAGCAGAACGCAGAAGGCTTGCAGAGGGAGGGAGCCAATGACCTGTAACAGCGGTAGTGTTGGGTCATAAAGGTAAATGCACGTGCAGTTCATGATAGTTACCTGTGCACTGCACAGTGATAGACCGTTTGGATCATTCACATTGACTACTTCTAGCTGTCATCATGAAAGCTTATTCAGATGATGCTAAACGTTTAATTAGCAATGTGTTGAATTTTTTTTTAAAAGAGAGCAAACGTAGCAAACCGATTTATAAGGTGTCGGATTACATGAAACGTACAACTTTTGCTCTTGGCATGAAAAAGAACATCATGCTAAAAATTGTGAAAAATAAACCAACAACCAATAAACAAAACCTTGTACAAAAAGGTAGGCATCCAAAGTTAGATTCTTTTGACATCAGGGTCATCAGCATAGCTGACCTACATTGACGAACGTTGACCTTTATGACCCAACACTGCCGCTGTTACAGGTCATTGGCTCCCTCCCTCTGCAAGCCTTCTGCGTTCTGCTGTTTATTTTGTTGACAGTTACATAGACAGATTCTTTAATACAAATGCATAAAATCGGTGATTACAATGTGATTAGGTTGTCTGACAAAACATCCACTTGCACAGTTTGAGATCGATTGGGTTATTGGATGAAGAGATATTTACAAAAAAACGGGTCCACATGCATTTCATGCCAAACTATAGTTATGAATTTGTATTGGCACTTTCTGAAGATAGAGGGCCAAATATAAGCTACTGGACAGGTCTGAATAAATCCATGTGAGGTATGACATCTAGAAAAATAGGTTGGCAAAGACAGATTAATAGAAGTGACAAAAGAAGGTTCATATATTGAACATGTGTTTTTCAAAACTTTTGTTGCAACTGGGAGATTCATATGATAAATTACTCATCAGGATTTGATTTAAAGAGCTTGATTTAAAATGCACCATGTACATGTTGACATGAAAAGCTTGTTGCACAAGACAAAACAAGGTTGCATCTGGGTCCCATAAATTTATAGAAGTTAAATAAACTAGTTTAAATAAGTAAAATTACTGATCTTCAAAGACTGCCATGTGTGTAAAACCAACACAGTTCATCCTCGATAATCTCCAGATATACGTTCCGATAAATCTCCACTATACCCTGGATGCATCTACGGCTCGGACCCATGATTTTATTACCTCCCTTGGCTGGATTTTTATCCAATCAGGTGTCTATGCTGGGAAGTTGAGCGTACCAATCACAACTCACTTTCGCTTATTTTATTCAACCGATAAAACTTGGCAACATAATAGTTGCAGAGGTACTCTGAAAGAGGTAGAAAGAGTTCTTGCATATATTTCTTAAAGTTCAGACCTGTCAATTTGTCTGTATGATTTTCCCCAAAATCTGAGTCGCACTGTGAACAAACCTTTGCAGCTGCGACCACTATCTTTGTTGACACTGGCAAGCATGGTTGTAACGGCGACTGAGCTGATTGGCAACTGTGAGAATGTGGAGCCAGCAAAGGAAGGTAATAAAATTATCGGGCCGAGCCATAGATGCATCCTAGATACTAACAGATTTATCGTAATGTATACCCTGGAGATTATCGAGGATGGGATTAGTTATATGGTTTGGAAAATATAGAAATACAGAGTTTGTTCAAAGATTGAAGTTGTGTGACAAAACAGAACTAGTCCGACACAAATTTGAATTTTTAAGACAAGTTCTTTGTGGATGTAGACATAAATATTGGGTTGCATTTTTCAAATAAAGGTTGCACTTGTGCATGTTTTACACACATAAATCCATCTCTAAATATCCCTCATGAACTTACCCTGCAGGCTACAAGCACTGGATTAATATATTCAAAATATCATGACACATGTATCAATCTGTTATGGAAAAAGGATATAGAGGACTAACAAATTATAATCATTGATTTTGAGGGTGAGGGCTCATTTACATTGTACATGCTTCTCCATGAAAATCATCAACCCCCCCCAAGCCATATAGATATGTCAGGGTAGAGATTGTAATCGTAGTCTCTACTGGTTGAATCGGAGATTCTACCAGTACATTTTCCAATTCAACTGGTAGAAACTCCGATCCTACTAGTAGAGGCTGCAATCATCTTCAACTGGTAGAAACTCCGAGTGATCTGTTTTTCTGAACAGTACTATGCATTATAATCAGATATAACACTAGACTGTTTCCACTTCTACAGATATATTAAGGACTAAAAATACAAATGTGACTTGAGAGATCATATTACAATATATACATATATTACAAAACTGAGTACAAGCAAGATCAACTGCATAATCAGTGTTTACCCTAGGCATGAAAATTTAGGAGTCATCATGACTCCCTGGTGTCATGAGAGGGAGTCATGCACATGTTTTTGGGAGTCAACTTCTTTCATCAAGAGATCAACTATTATTGTTTAATAACAACAGGTCCAAGTAAGGCATGTTTTGAAATACATCTGAATGAACTTCCTACTTTTTTTTAACTGAGACTTTTATAACAAACATTTAACACCTCACTGTAAACAATATCAAAATAAAAAATAAAAATGGTTTGTAACACTGTATTTACATCATGAGACCAAGCTGCCAAATTTGGACTCCTCTCAAAAAACAAAACAAAATACCCCCACTTATTATACTTGCTTGCATAGTTTATTCCATACTCCGATCGCAATCTCTACTGGTAGAATCTCCGATCTTAATCATCTTAACTACATCAGCTATTATCTAATATCTTATTACCGATGCTTTGCATGTTTATCATGTTTATGTTAATACCATACAACTGCATTTCATGTGCTGCACATTCTTAGTTGAGAAAATCTCTCGGGGAACTTGAGATGGCATGAGGAATGTGTTGATACAGGTTTTCCTGGAATGTTTGACTTTGTGTGTCTACATACTTCGTAGTTTAAATCTGCAAAACAATGACATGTTAACTTTAAAAATACTTTGGACTGAATTCCAGTTTGCTTTACCTGTCTTGACAGTGTTTTGTTAAATCTGGATAAAATTGTACATTTATATTTACATTTCTGCATTGTCCTTAAAATTCTATCAGGGATTAAGCTTGAGACAATTTGCAAAAGAAACCTTTCACATGTTTCTGGACACTTTCACCTCTTGTCAGGTTTGTTATGGCATTTTTCCAGATCTCTATACAATCGCCAAATTAAAAGAAAAACAAACATCTTTAAGACATTTTAGTAAACAATCATTTAGCCAGTCAACATCCTGGAAAAATCTATGAATATGATCTTCAGCTCATAAACATTAAAGTATTTGATCTGATAGCAACGAATGAAATATCCATGAAAACAAACATGACATACAACGCATCTTTCGGCATTAATGGGTACAACAAGGACTGGTCGGCTCGGAGTCAGTATAATGTGTCTGAGTGGGGTATTCATGCATCACTGCGGCATGGTATCTCAGTGGGCTAGCACTATAAAACCAGCTTCAGTCTGGGCTAGTACAAGCAGCCGCACATACACATACACACGCATGCACGTCGTCATATGAGCGAAATATTCTCAAGCACGACGTTAAACCCAATTTCACCTCACCTCAAAACACACTGTTCATTTGCCACGCCCCCTGTCAAGCTGAAAACATGTGCTTGTCAAGATTATTTGTTCATCTCTTGTATGTAGGTCAGCATTGAGAGGCCTCTTCACGTATTCTGTTACAGGGAAGTGAATCATCTGTGACAAATATGCGTCTATACGAGATGTCTTTATAAAACCCGGATTGTTATTGTCTGTGGATGGTTCATGCGGAATAACAATGAGTTCGAAAAAAACTTACTTTTTAAATGTCCTTTCGAAATCTTTGATTTGCTTCCGAGTGAATTCTTTGAATTCGGTGTAAGGATTAAAGACACGTGCTGAGGGCAGTGAGCCTTCTTCTATCCCATCATTGATATCGTTTCTTCTCTGCAATTTCTTGGCAAGCTCTTCGGTTTCGGACATTTTTCAGTTAGTGATCGGAGACCTGTCGCCACGGGCTTTGACACACGGAGGTACTTGAATGGCTTCCGTTCTGCTTGGGGATTTCCTCGTCACGTGATACCAAATAATGACGTAGCACGCGAAAGGTCGGAGGTCAAAATGGTGTTTTCCAAATACGGAAATAGCGTGACGATGTGTCTTGAGTGGAATTGTCAGCTAAGCCTGCTTTCATTCTTTTCATTTTGAGCTAAAAGTCTCATTTGCATAACCCATTGTAAGAAACAAACCTATTATATTTCTATATTTACTCTCAGGTTCAAAACGACCACCTGCTAACTTTTAGTTGTAACTTTCTTTTAACGTTTTCCATTTTGTTCATCTACCATTGTGGTGTTGTGGATAAAAAGGCATTAAAATGTGGAACTTGCTGCTACCCTGCCTGGTGCATGGCATTATGGTAATGAAAGGACTGGCTGGGTGAGGTGTCAGTACAATGTGTCTGTGAAGGGAAATATAAGAATACACCCCAAAATGCTGTGTTCCTTAAAATACTGATGCTGATATCCTCTCTCTCTCTCTCTCCAGGGATACTCTACAACAGGGATAGGTCACTCGCTTGCTTTCTTTACCATTTGTACTAATTAACGTGTGCCTCGTCATGCTCCAACGCACACAGTGACTTGGTTCGGTCCCAGCGCAACTTCGGCTGCGTTTAGCAGTACTTCAACCCGTGTATTGTATCAGTCGGAATTTTACAATGAATGAATGAATGAATTAAGAGCAAGAATGTTATGTGAATGAATGAAAGAAATTAAGAAAAAGAACAAAAGAAAAAGAACATGTGAATGAATGAAAGAATAAATGATACACCACGGCCATCCCTCCCCAAACATGTTAAAGAACGCAAAACTATCGGTAGAACACATGTGTAAACATCAGCTGTCCTTTTTTAAAAAAAAAATTACTTTGAGACATTTTTTTACATTAGTAACTAATTCAGATATTTTATTGCATGTGTGGAATGACATGGGCATTGACAGAATGTTAACTGACACTGTCACAGACCCCTCAAGAACAGAACGTTTAGAACTATCACAAAGCGTTGTAAACACCTTTCCAGTTTTGCCAAATACTAAGATCAACAGGAAAGAAAGAAGTTTTAGAACTATAACATTCAAGCATCGCAAGCACCAATGGCGTATCAGAACAGATCGGCGATATGTCATATTTTTCACACACCTCAAATACACCCTAACAAAAACAAAAAACAATTTAAAACTATCACTATTACTTGCAAAAACCTCTCACCTGATGGTATATTCCCCTCATAAAAATTAAAGATGTATGTGACAGATGTTTTAGAACAATAACTAGAAACACTCAAACAACGCCCTGTAGTATTTCAATGGCAGATCGGCGATATGTCATATTTTTCACACACCTCAAATGCGCACTAACAATTTTTTTTAATTTATAAAACTATTACTATTACTTGCAAACACCTTTCACCTGATGGTATATTCCCCTCATAAAAATTGAAGGTGTATGTGAAAGATGTTTTTGAACAATAACTAGAAACACTCAAACAACGCCCTGTTGGCAGATCGGCGATATGTCATATTTTTCATACACCTCAAATACACCCTAACAAAAAACTTTTAGTTATAAAAACATCACTATTACTTGCAAACACCTTTCAACTAAAGGTATATTTCCCTTCTAAAAATTAAACGAATATGTGAAAGAAGTTTTTAGCGATATAATTTAGTCTTTCTTTGCTGTGTACTGACAATTGAAGCCAGTGAGCTACAACATGCCCACTTGAAACTTTACTACAAATCTACTGTACTTATACTGACACTAATAACAATTATTTGACTTAAAATGAAGTGACAGAATAGGTAACTTATCTTCTACATGTAGGTTTTCAGTTGTCACAACTCAGCGTATGTAATCAGCTGTTGAAAATAAACCGGGCTCAATCTTAAAAACTACGCTGCGGCCATATTGGCTACACTGGTCACGTGGCGAGCCGAGGCATAGCTTAGGAGCTTTCCGAGGAGTGACCACTCCCCTTTATATAGTCTCCCTGCTCTCTCAGCTAGTTTAGTCAACTTTGATGGGACCAAGATGAAACCCCTTTTTGTCGTGTGCAACAAGCCTTTCATGTCAACTGGCACATGGTGCATTTTTAATCAAGTTCCTCAAATCAAGCCCTGATGTGTAATTAATTATATGAATTCCCCAGATTTATCTGGCTTTTATTTATCATCTCATTTGTCTGTGTCACTGTGTTAAAACAAGGTCAAATGACTGCTCACTTAATCCCAGTCGTAATTTTTTTGGGTCTTATTTCACCTGGTTTAAAATAATAGGAAACAGTCCCAATCATATCGTTCACGATATGATACGTATTGCGATATCATGGAACGATACGATGCATACCACAATATGCTATCTTTAGTTATTTTCTTTAAGAAAGTTTTATTTGATAACAAGTAACAGTGTAAATTTTGACATAACTGTCAATTTCTAGTGAAAATTCACAATTTCAAGGTCAACGATACATGTCACGATACGGAAAAAAGTATCGATATATTTATTGCCAGAAAAAGTATCACGATTATCGATACTACGATATATCGTCACAGCTCTACCAACGTCTCTGAGATAGATGTTCATGAGACAGGAGTCCGAGGAGCCAAGGACTTCTTTGAAGCTAAGGTAACTTTGTTAGTAGTCATAGTTTTCTTGCCATTGCTATTGCATCCTCGATAATCTCCAGGGTATATGTTCCGATAAATCTCCACTATACCCTCGATGCATCTACGGTTCGAGTCGATGATTTTATTACCTCCCTTTGCTGGTTCCTCATTCTCACAGAAGCCAATCAGATAAGCCACCGTTACAACCGAGCTTGCCAGTGCCCACAAAGATAGCAGTCGCAGCCTCTTTCTCTCTCTCTCTCTGTGTCTCTGGCATACTCTTTCTCTCTCTGTGGCATAAGTAAACATTGTCAAACCTGGACATGGTCGAGACAGCTGTCTTAGTTCAAGTTGTGACAAAGTGTGATTTCTTCAAAGAATGATGGTCTCATACGTATAAATCAGTGAGTCACACTTACCTTTTGTTTTAGTATGTAATTAATTCACAGTGAAGATATCCAATCGTTGGTAATCCTGCTGTTTTTGGTATTCCGTGTGAGAAGTAATTAAAAAATTCCAAGTAACATCAATGTCATGAACACACACACACCAAATTCCTGGATCCGTCCATGATGGGGTATAACAGTGGGCTATTATTCGGTGGTTTCACATTACTTTTCAACTAGCTGTGCGCATGCCAATTCTTTCATTTTCTTGGGTAGTGGACGAAGTTTAGCTTTGCAGTTGCACAGGTATAATACATACAAAGGTATGCCGTGTTCTAGTATCCAACCAGTTTGGACTGCTTGACTAGACTGGGCTCTAAGTTAAATGTCTGGTTTATTCCTTAATACCTCCCAGTCTCAATTGTGTTTGCCAATCCAGTGAAATCTTACGAATGATTTCTATATTCTGAATATACAAATTATGAAAGGTGAGCTATACATTCTGGTACCATAGGGGTGCAACCATGCAGGTGGGCCACGATACCATACGTATCTCGATACTGCTGCCACGATTCGATACGAATCGCGATACACAAAATAAAAAGAATAACAAAATATAAGCATACAACTTTTATTTGAATTGAAGAAGAAATCTTCAATCAGAGTTAGTAAACTGTACCAAGTCTCTTGTAACTGAAAACAATTACTTTTGTTTTAAAATTAAGTAAACACTAAACAAATCTGTTACTTTAACAGCAGTCAGCTATCTGGATATTCTGAAATAAACTTTGACACTTTCAAGGAGTCTTACAATCTGACTAACACAACATTGTCAAACAGACAAATGGTTACATACTCTTTTTCAGTGTGCTTCATGCATCATAATTCTGTTACAATTACAGTTTCATATTTTTTTTTAGGAAAATCAGAATATCAACATTTTCAGCTGAAAGTGAAGCACCTTGAGCAGTGACAATATCCCCAGCTGTGGAAAATACTCTCTCGCTGGGGACTGAAGTAGCACACACTGCTTCACAAGACGGGCAAGGGCTGGGAATCTGACTGCGTTCATCTTCCACCAAAGTATGGGGGTTTTCAGTTAATGGAATACATTCCTCAAGCTTGTATTTCTGCACCTCTTCCTCAATGGAAGCAGAATGTGGCTTTGCCTCTTGCACATGTGTAATGAACACCTCCCCAAATGTCTCCTCAATTGCACTTTTGGTTTTCTTAGGTTGTGATGGGCCTGGTGTCTCAGAGTCAGAAACAGAGTCTGAAGTGCAAGTCTGTGTCCCACCAGTCTCAGTGTCATGACACTCAGGGGGCTGACTGTGGGTTTGAGGCAATACAGGTTGGGGGGGCTGTGCTATCGCTTCATCTGTGGGATGACTCGGTTCCTCCTTCACTCTCACTGGAGCCACTTCATCCTGAAAGAAGAATTATAACAGTTTAACTGACAGCTAAAATGTCTAAAGTGATATTTGAAATGTAGCATGATTAATTGATCATGATACACTGTTGAAACGTTTTTACCATTCAGAATTTCAATCATTTTATGTAATAAAAATAATAAAATATTCAGAAACAAATTAAGATGAAGTTTTGTTGTTTGAAACACCTTTTTCTGTGGAATTTTTGTTTTAAATGTTTAAAGCATTAATTAATTACATTAACAGTATTTTAATTATTCAGTTGTTGAACTGTTTATTTACCTTGTTTGCTTCTGCCATCTTGATCGCATTCATGGTCAGGGCACTGAATACAAGAAGCCGGTTGGCTTCATTGTGGTAGGGTAGTGATCGAAACCTGGGGTCAAGGGCAGTTGCTTCCTGTAGAAATTTGTTGATGTCAGGGTCAGTATATCTGGTCTTCAGATCTTTGACAATTGCCGACTTCACAGACTTGACAAGGCCAGAATCACTTTCAGTGACAGACATGGATTTCAGAATAAGCTCCTTTAATAGTAGAATCAAGGAAACTGTGGGCACTTTCTCTGAACAGAGGATTGTTGTTATTGTCTTCAATGGTCGAAGAACATCTACCGCATCTTCTACTGCGCTAACATCTTCCTCTGACAGAGTAACAAGGGTGTCTGCATTTTTCCTGATATCCTTCACTGTGTGAGTGGCAAAGATTGCAGCTTGCTGCTCGGGATATCGCTGAAGCATGTCGCAGCTCGAATTCCATCTCGTAGAAACATCTTCGATCAGTTTGTGATCGGGCAGTTCAAGAAGTAACTGTTTTGACCTGAGAACAGATGCAGCATGTGAGCTTCTGTGAAAGAATGAAACTATTCTTCTCACTCTCCCCAAAATTCTGGACATCTGCGGCACCTGCATGGCTTTTTGGCTTGCTATGTTAATTGTGTGCGCAAAGCACCTTATATGAGGTGCAAATTTCGACTGCTTTACAGCACTAACAATATTGCTAGCATTGTCTGTGCTAATGGCAATCTGAGAAAATTTGCCTAAGTTCCATTCGTCAACAGCTGATTCCAGGACATTAGCCAGGTTTGCCCCAGTGTGGCTCTCTTGTAATGTTCGTGTTTGAAGTACCGGAATTTTAAGTTGCCAGTCTTCGTTAACATAGTGAGCCGTGATGGTATTATATAGCTCTCGGTGGAACGTGAGGTCCAACCATCAGTAGTGATAGCCATTGATGACGCACGAGCAATATTTCCATCACACTTGATTTTACTTTCTTGTACATTTCAGGTATCACATAATTCGTGAAGTGGGTTCTCGATGGGATTTCATATCTCGGTTCAAGTGTGTGGATGAGGTACTTGAAACAGATGTTCTCTACAAGTGAATAAGGTCGCATGTCCATCGCAATGAATGTACCAATTCCATTTGTTATTGCTTGCGCCCGTGTCGAACGAGACGACAGTTTGGTCTTGAAAGCCTCACTAAGTCTAAGTTGACCTGCTAACGATGTGCGTTTCTTATCGTCAGAAATGTTCAAAGGTTTTGAACATTTTGATTGTCCATAATCATTGCAATGAATATCCGGGTGATGTCGCCGAAGATGTGTGGACATGTTAGTTGTGCTCCCCGTGTACCTGATTCGCAGGTAACACAGACGACAGACGGTCTCATCTTTTTCAACAAGTTTCTTACCGCCAATGTATTCAATTGGAAAACCAAATGCTTGCCAAACAGAAGATTTGAATGAAGCCGGGGGTTTTTCGACTTCACATTTGATTTCGCTGCTTAACAGTCCGTCTTCAGCCATTGTTTTGACAGCGCAAAAAGCACATGGCATCTGACCGTGAACTTGAGCTTGACATTCGCAGTAATGCAATCTGATTGGTCATTCATTTTACTGGCCACCAATGAACAAACAGCATGGCTTTGTATTTTCGTTTTCCTGGAAAGGCGTGTTTGTGTGAAGTGTTTCGAGTCATGGTTTCATGCAGAACATTTTATCATTAACAATTTTTGTCAAATTATTAATAACACAAGCTTTATTGATTGCTATGAAAAGTAGTATATTCAGATGATAGGTATGCTTTATCGTTTGATGGAAAATATTTATGATCATAAACGTTTTGTCACTGAAAAAAAGGCTGGATATTTTCGGAACGTATAGTAAAAACATTTGAGCGAATACAGCAGTTTTGTGCCAAACGTCGATCTAACTTGCACAACAGAGACAAATATAGACACTCTCAGGTAAGATGCGTTTATTCAATTCAGTGTTAACAACATGGACGCTATATTATGTGAACAAGATCATTTACTGTAATTGACAGCACACAAAACACTGTTTACAGTTTTGTATCGTAGCGTATCGATTCACGGACAAAAATGTATCGCGTATCGTATCGTATGCCCTAGATCGCGATGCACCGGTGTACCGGTGTATCGTTGCACCCTTTTATAATATTTTGTTTCTACGTGTTCCAGGTACACAGTAAATTTCTGTCTCAAAGATGGGAGTTCGAGGCCTGTGGACATATTGTCGGGAAAATCTGCCGTCATGTGCCAAGGCGGTGGACCTTGTTCGTGTTGCCAAGCAACGCCATGGCATAAACATTCTAGTAGACCTCTGTGCCTTTGAAGTGTTCCTGGTTCGTCAAGTCTTTGTGGCCCTTCAAGATGTCACGGACAATCCATACCTTCCAATTTTAGGGGGGGAATATGGTGCTATTGATGCATATGTGTCCAAATTGGTATCAGATTTGAAAAGTCTTGGCATTGAACTTTTATTCTTTGTGGATGGCTGCCAAGGAAGTTCACAGGAGGTTAATTCTCGAAAGATGCCCGTTTGGAAAGAAAGATGTAATGATTGTATTGAGGTTCAAAGAAATACTTTGAGAGTCTGTGCAGGGGACATCAATATAGATGAATTAACACAAATGTTATGTTCACGTTTGATGAGTCCTCAGTTCCGTAGTTCCTTGGAATCCAGTGGCTGCAAAGTCTGTGATGTTCGAGAGGAAGCTGATACGTATATTGCTAAAACTTTTGAGACAATGGAAAACGCTTATGCTGTTTTGACCAATGACACAGACTTTTTCATCTTCAAGGGATGTGTAAGCATATTCAATGAAGGGTTTGATTTGACAAACAGTCTCAAACCAGAGCCAGGAGGAACTGTACCCTCAAAGCCCAAAGAACTTATATGTTTGGTCTTTACATCTGAGAGGATTGGAAGAAGTCTTGGGGTATGTTGATGCGTTTACATTCCACACAAGAAAGCAAAAGTATACTGTGGCTGCATGGATTATGGTAATGTATTCTAAAGGTGCTCAAAATAGTTTGTGTATGTTGTCATTAGGAACATGCATTTGAGTGTGAGCTTTGTATGTGTTCTCTATACAAGCTTAGGGACATGCATTTGAGTGTGAGCTTTGTAGGTGTTCTCTATGCAAGCTTAGGGACATGCATTTAAGTGTGTGCTTTGTATGTGTTCTCTATACAAGCTTAGGGACAAGCATTTGAGTGTGTGCTTTGTATGTGTTCTCTATACAAGCTTAGGGACATGCATTTGAGTGTGTGCTTTGTATGTGTTCTCTATACAAGCTTAGGGACATGCATTTGATTGTGTGCTTTGTATGTGTTCTCTATACAAGCTTAGGGACAAGCATTTGAGTTTGTGCTTTGTATGTGTTCTCTATGCAAGCTTAGGGACATGCATTTGAGTGTGTGCTTTGTATGTGTTCTCTATGCAAGCTTAGGGACATGCATTTGAGTGTGTGCTTTGTATGTGTTCTCTATGCAAGCTTAGGGACATGCATTTGAGTGTGTGCTTTGTATGTGTTCTCTATGCAAGCTTAGGGACATGCATTTGAGTGTGAGCTTTGTATGTGTTCTCTGTGCAAACTGAGGGACATGCATTTGAGTGTGTGCTTTGTATGTGTTCTCTATACAAGCTTAGGGACATGCATTTGAGTGTGTGCTTTGTATGTGTTCTCTATACAAGCTTAGGGACAAGCATTTGAGTGTGTGCTTTGTATGTGTTCTCTATGCAAGCTTAGGGACATGCATTTGAGTGTGTGCTTTGTATGTGTTCTCTATGCAAGCTTAGGGACATGCATTTGAGTGTGTGCTTTGTATGTGTTCTCTATGCAAGCTTAGGGACATGCATTTGAGTGTGTGTGCTTTGTATGTGTTCTCTATGCAAGCTTAGGGACATGCATTTGAGTGTGTGCTTTGTATGTGTTCTCTATGCAAGCTTAGGGACATGCATTTGAGTGTGTGCTTTGTATGTGTTCTCTATGCAAGCTTAGGGACATGCATTTGAGTGTGTGCTTTGTATGTGTTCTCTATCTATGCAAGCTTCTCTAGGGACATGCATTTGAGTGTGTGCTTTGTATGTGTTCTCTATGCAAGCTTAGGGACATGCATTTGAGTGTGTGCTTTGTATGTGTTCTCTATGCAAGCTTAGGGACATGCATTTGAGTGTGTGCTTTGTATGTGTTCTCTATGCAAGCTTAGGGACATGCATTTGAGTGTGTGCTTTGTATGTGTTCTCTATACAAGCTTAGGGACATGCATTTGAGTGTTGAGTGTGTGTTTGTGTGTGCTTTGTATGTGTTCTCTATACAAGCTTAGGGACATGCATTTGAGTGTGTGCTTTGTATGTGTTCTCTATACAAGCTTAGGGACATGCATTTGAGTGTGTGCTTTGTATGTGTTCATCTATACAAGCTTAGGGACAAGCATTTGAGTGTGTGCTTTGTATGTGTTCTCTATGCAAGCTTAGGGCTTGACATGTGTGCTTTGTATGTGTTCTCTATTTGAGTGTGTGCTTTGTATGTGTTCTCTATGCAAGCTTAGGGACATGCATTTAAGTGTGAGTGCTTTGCTTTGTGTTCCCTCTGTGCAAGCTTAGGGACATGCATTTTGAGTGTGTGCTTTGTATGTGTTCTCTATACAAGCTTAGGGACATGCATTTGAGTGTGCTTTGTATGTGTTCTCTATGCAAGCTTAGGGACATGCATTTGAGTGTGTGCTTTGTATGTGTTCTCTATGCAAGCTTAGGGACATGCATTTGAGTGTGTGCTTTGTATGTGTTCTCTATACAAGCTTAGGGACATGCATTTGAGTGTGTGCTTTGTATGTGTTCTCTATGCAAGCTTAGGGACATGCATTTGAGTGTGTGCTTTGTATGTGTTCTCTATAAGCTTAGGGACATGCATTTGAGTGTGTGCTTTGTATGTGTTCCTCTATACAAGCTTAGGGACATGCATTTGAGTGTGTGCTTTGTATGTATGTTCTCTATGCAAGCTTAGGGACATGCATTTGAGTGTGTGCTTTGTATGTGTTCTCTATACAAGCTTAGGGACATGCATTTGAGTGTGTGCTTTGTATGTGTTCTCTATGCAAGCTTAGGGACATGCATTTAAGTGTGTGCTTTGTATGTGTTCTCTATACAAGCTTAGGGACATGCATTTGAGTGTGTGCTCTGTATGTGTTCCTCTATACAAGCTTAGGGACATGCATTTGAGTGTGTGCTTTGTATGTGTTCTCTATACAAGCTTAGGGACATGCATTTGAGTGTGTGTGTGCTGCATTTGTTGTATGTGTTCTCTATGCAAGCTTAGGGACATGCATTTGAGTGTGTGCTTTGTATGTGTTCTCTATGCAAGCTTAGGGAGGGACATGCATTTGAGTGTGTGCTTTGTATGTGTTCTTATGCAACATGCATTTGAGTGGTGACATGCATGTGTTCCTCTACATGCTTAGTGTGTGCTTGTGTGTATGTGTTCTCTATACAAGCTTAGGGACATGCATTTGAGTGTGTGCTTTGTATGTGTTCCCTATGCAAGCTTAGGGACATGCATTTGAGTGTGTGTTCCTGTGTTCTATGCAAGCTTAGGGACATGCATTTGAGTGTGTGCTTTGTATGTGTTCTCTATGCAAGCTTAGGGACATGCATTTGAGTGTGTGCTTTGTATGTGTTCTCTATACAAGCTTAGGGACATGCATTTGAGTGTGTGCTTTGTATGTGTTCTCTATGCAAGCTTTTAGGGACATGCATTTAAGTGTGTGCTTTGTATGTGTTCTCTATGCAAGCTTAGGGACATGCATTTGAGTGTGTGCTTTGTATGTGTTCTCTATACAAGCTTAGGGACATGCATTTGAGTGTGCTTTGTATGTGTTCCTCTATGCAAGCTTAGGGACATGCATTTGAGTGTGTGCTTTGGGACATGCATTTGAGTGTGTGCTTTGTATGTGTTCTCTATTAGGGACATTTGAGTGTGTGCTTTGTATGTGTTCTCTTAGGGGACATGCATTTGAGTGTGTGCTTTGTATGTGTTCTCTATAGGGAAGTTTAGGGACATGCATTTTAGGGACATGTGTGTGCTTTGTATGTGTTCTCTATGCAAGCTTGGGACATGCATTTGAGTGTTTAGGGACATGCATTTGAGTGTGTGCTTTGTATGTGTTCTCTATACAAGCTTAGGGACATGCATTTGAGTGTGTGCTTTGTATGTGTTCTCTATACAAGCTTAGGGACATGCATTTAAGTGTGTGCTTTGTATGTGTTCTCTATACAAGCTTAGGGACATGCATTTGAGTGTGTGCTTTGTATGTGTTCTCTATGCAAGCTTAGGGACATGCATTTGAGTGTGTGCTTTGTATGTGTTCTCTATGCAAGCTTAGGGACATGCATTTGAGTGTGTGCTTTGTATGTGTTCTCTATACAAGCTTAGGGACATGCATTTGAGTGTGTGCTTTGTATGTGTTCTCTATACAAGCTTAGGGACATGCATTTGAGTGTGTGCTTTGTATGTGTTCTCTATGCAAGCTTAGGGACATGCATTTGAGTGTGTGCTTTGTGTATGTGTTCTCTATGCAAGCTTAGGGACATGCATTTGAGTGTGTGCTTTGTATGTGTTTCTCTATGCAAGCTTAGGGACATGCATTTGAGTGTGTGTTGTGTCTCTATGCAAGCTTATGGACATGTGTTCTCTATGCAAGCTTAGGGACATGCATTTGAGTGTGTGCTTTGTATGTGTTCTCTATGCAAGCTTAGGGACATGCATTTGAGTGTGTGCTTTGTATGTGTTCTCTGTATGCATTTGAGTGTGTGCTTTGTATGTGTTCTCTATGCAAGCTTAGGGACATGCATTTGAGTGTGTGCTTTGTATGTGTTCTCTATGCAAGCTTAGGGACATGCATTTTAGTGTGTACTATGTATGTGTTCTCTATGCAAGCTTAGGGACATGCATTTTAGTGTGTACTATGTATGTGTTCTCTATGCAAGCTTAGGGACATGCATTTGAGTGTATGTTTTGTGTATGTTCTGATTACAAGCATGGGGGCATGACTTTGTGTGTATGGTGTGTGAACATTTTCCTAACAAGCTTGGGAGGGTGGGGTGAAAAGAGAGCACAAATTTTACAAATTTGAATGTAATCTGTTACTATAATCACATTAAAAGATAGGGGGCACCCATGAGTGGTGCTGTTTGTGCTGTTCACAGTCACAGAAATAATTAACAGCATTCACATGATAACATCAGACCACCATAATGACAAGGCCACAATCGTATTTATTCTGGTCAGTGGGAAGTTTAACTGAGAATTTGTTTGTTTAACTTTGTTTAATGCTGAATATTCATGCAGGGGTGTGTCAATAACTGAGTCTGAACCAGACAATCCAAGACAATGGGTTGCTGAAGACACGGATCTTCACAGGTTTTGTTTGTTTGCTTGTTGTTTAACGCTGCACTGTGCAATATTGCAGTTATATAACGCTGGTCTGTAAATAATCAAGTCTGGACCAGACAATCCAGTGATCAACAGCATGAGCAGAGCTCCAGATAACATTTAGCTCATGTGGGTACTGTACCCACTGCAATGTTTTGGAGTGGGTATTATGAATGTTGAGTGGGTATTTCATTTTTCGTTATCCACTGCTTTGCAAAATGTGGATATTTCAGTCATTTGACTCTCCTAAGTATTATGTCATTGAGTAAGTTTACTAAGCAGGTATGTCCTGCCTTATATCATATCTAATCAAACCCAACTTAAATATAATGGAAATGATTTCATAAAAAAAATCACTTATCCAATACTGACAGTACAACACTAGTCCTATACTAACAGTACAACTTGATAGCAATCAATGTCTTTTTCATTATGCAAGTGATGTTTATAAATATATTCCGTACGCATTTGTTTGAAACGTTTTGAGTATCTAACATTTTAAATGCGTAAAAGGTACGCAAAAATTATTTTTCAATGCGTAATTGGAAATTTTCTATGCGTATCTTACCCGGATACGCAGCTTATCAGGGCCTCTGAGCATGAGCATCATGCCGTAGGTTTGTTGCTATGTTTGTCAGAACCATACCTCTTCTCATGACCTGTACTCTTACAGATGACATGTACATTACTTTTCTCCTGCATGAAATAAATGTGGCATGATATCTCATTAGTTAGATACTAGCTTAAAAAAGAGGACTAGTACAAACAGACCCCCACCCTCCCAAGAGACACATTCCATGCAAGTTCAATAGTCTTGCCTTGTTGTTAAACCCCATTTCATCTTATCTCACCTTGTTCAGTTTCAGCATCATTCACAGCTGATAGAACTCAGTATCATAGCCGGGAATGACAACACTAGGCGCTTCATGATGGAGTTTCGCTACCTGCTTTCCATTAAGGGTAGATGGTCAATGTCCAAGGCAGCTGCTTGGGTGAAGCAATATGGGCGTGTCGAAAACCATCCAGCGTTGGCTCGAAAAGTGGTTTGTATGATTATTATTGTTTACAAGAATCCATGCCAATTGTGAGAAAAAGATTTGTTTTGTTTCTTGGCTTGACTGCCATATAGCTGGAATATTGCTGAGTGCAGTGTAAAACTAAACTCATCCTAGGATCGACAGAGGTTTAAACAAAGTAGAAATATTGCCTGAGTAAATGCTTAAGCAGTTATTTTCAATAAGGCAATGTTGGTAACTTTTCTTGTATATAAGTTAGTGAGTGAGTGAGTTTAGTTTTACGCCGTACTCAGGAGTATTCCAGCTGTATGGCAGCGGTCTGAAATAATTGGGTCTGGACCAGACAATCCAGTGATCAACAGCATGAGCATCGATCTACACAGTTGGGATATGATGATGTGTGTCAACCAAGTCCGCAAGCCAGACCACCTGAACCTGTTAGTCGCCTCCAACGACAAACAAAGGTTACTGAAGACCAATTCTAACCTGGATCTTCATGGGTCTCTTGTATATGAGTATAAGGTTCATGCATTTGACTTTGTTAAACAAGGCCTGTGTATTTGCATACCAGGAGTTTTTTTTCTGAATCCTGTGATGGTAACAGAACCACGGACCATACTCCATATCACCAAACAGTTTAGTCATGTAGTCATGTCAGGAAGCTGACAAGTGTAGGATGTCATCTGTAGGTTGACTCTTAAGGTAACGGTTTTGCATGGTTATTTGAATAGTTTGGAGCAAAGAGTAACAGAATTGCCTCCCTTAGCCATGCAAGGATATGCTAACCAGGGTTTGAATCCCTGATGTTCCCCACAGTGATCCTTGGTCAACAAGCACCCTCAATCAGCTCCCAGGTTTCACCACATAGATTAAACATGCACACATTAGGGTGTCATCCAGGAAGAGGATTGATATGTACCGGTACTGTTTGCAGATATGTACGGGTACTGTTTGCAGATATGTACGGGTACTGTTTGCAGATGTGTACTGTTTGCAGATATGTACGGGTACTGCTTGCAGATATGTACGGGTACTGCTTGCAGATGTGTACTGTTTGCAGATATGTACGGGTACTGTTTGCAGATGTGTACTGTTTGCAGATATGTACTGGTACTGCTTGCAGATGTGTACTATTTGCAGATATGTACTGGTACTGTTTGCAGATGTGTACTATTTGCAGATATGTACTGGTACTGTTTGCAGATGTGTACTATTTGCAGATATGTACTGGTACTGCTTGCAGATGTGTACTATTTGCAGATATGTACTGGTACTGTTTGCAGATGTGTACTATTTGCAGATATGTACTGGTACTGTTTGCAGATGTGTACTGTTTGCAGATATGTACTGGCACTGCTTGCAGATGTGTACTATTTGCAGATATGTACTGGTACTGCTTGCAGATGTGTACTGTTTGCAGATATGTACGGGTACTGCTTGCAGATATGTACGGGTACTGCTTGCAGATGTGTACTATTTGCAGATATGTACTGGTACTGTTAGCAGATATGTACGGGTACTGCTTGCAGATGTGTACTGTTTGCAGATATGTACGGGTACTGCTTGCAGATATGTACGGGTACTGCTTGCAGATGTATACTATTTGCAGACATGTACGGGTACTGTTAGCAGATATGTACGGGTACTGTTTGCAGATATGTACGGGTACTGTTTGCAGATGTGTACTGTTTGCAGATATGTACGGGTACTGCTTGCAGATATGTACGGGTACTGCTTGCAGATGTGTACTGTTTGCAGATATGTACGGGTACTGTTTGCAGATGTGTACTGTTTGCAGATATGTACTGGTACTGCTTGCAGATGTGTACTATTTGCAGATATGTACTGGTACTGTTTGCAGATGTGTACTATTTGCAGATATGTACTGGTACTGTTTGCAGATGTGTACTATTTGCAGATATGTACTGGTACTGATTGCAGATGTGTACTATTTGCAGATATGTACTGGTACTGTTTGCAGATGTGTACTATTTGCAGATATGTACTGGTACTGTTTGCAGATGTGTACTGTTTGCAGATATGTACTGGCACTGCTTGCAGATGTGTACTATTTGCAGATATGTACTGGTACTGCTTGCAGATGTGTACTGTTTGCAGATATGTACGGGTACTGCTTGCAGATATGTACGGGTACTGCTTGCAGATGTGTACTATTTGCAGATATGTACTGGTACTGTTAGCAGATATGTACGGGTACTGCTTGCAGATGTGTACTGTTTGCAGATATGTACGGGTACTGCTTGCAGAATGTACGGGTACTGCTTGCAGATGTATACTATTTGCAGACATGTACGGGTACTGTTAGCAGATATGTACGGGTACTGCTTGCAGATGTGTACTATTTGCAGATATGTACTGGTATTGTTAGCAGATATGTACAGGTACTGTTGGCAGATGTGTACAGGTACTGTTTGCAGATGTGTACTGTTAGCAGATATGTAATGGTACTGCTTGGAGATGTGTACTGTTTGCAGAAATGTAATGGTACTGGTTTTTTTAGGTAAGTACCAGTACTGTTTGCTGGTCAAGTAAAAAATTTACTCCATCCACAACAGATATGTGTTTAAATGTACAAAAATACATGAGCATATATCTATCTATTTTGGCACTCAGCAATATTCCTTTGTATGCTGGCAATTAGGTGCCTGATTCTGAGGGTGTGGGTTGGAATCTCGGAATGGACTCAACCCAACAAAAGTACTAGAATCCAATGTATGAATTAATATTGAAAAGTGACTGGCCAGAGGGCTAGTTAAGTACAAATGTTACTAGCCCAGATCATACTTCACTGGCCCTGCAAATTATCAAAATGCACATTGGTCAGAATTTGTGTGATGTTTGGTAATTGAAAATGGTAAGTTATTGTTGCCCCTTGGAAACAATATATACTGTTTAGCATAACAATGGCGAAGCTGATTGGATACCAACCAGTAGAGCCTTAGCCAATCAAGTTAAACGTTACATTTGTATTGTAATGGTTCCTAACCCCTTTTGCACCATGCTATTAACATTTTTTATATAGCGATCTACGTGTGACAAGAGATAATAAATATCACAAAACTTTTGCAAGTGTACTTTTAACACCTTAATAATTGACTTCATCATATTCATGTGCCTTAACTAAACAAATTATCTGAGATTTTCAGCTAGCCTAAGTCGAAATAGCTTTAACAATATACTACTGGCCCCATTCACAATCAGCTAGCATTTGACTAGTGGGCCAGTAGCTATTTTGAATGCTGCTAGAATCTGTACTTTACTGAGAAAGTGTGATCCCAAATATAACATGTGTTACATTTATTCATTTGTTGTTCCCCTATCTTGGCATTACAGGATAGATATCCAGCTTTCCGCAAAGCTGTAGAAGATTCCAGACTGTTCTACACATTGCAATGCACTGAACCTGTGAGGGTGGGGGGGGAAATTCTTGCCTTGCTCAATGATGGTGTTGTACAAGGAACCTTACCTAGTGCACTGCTGGCTATATACAACCGGGTTTACTGGCGTAATGTCTCCATAGAGCAGCCGTCATTGTGTGGCAACACAGCCAGCACGGCCCTCATAGAACTCAGGCAGAGAATATACAGGATGGTGCTTCCAGAAACCGTGGACACAGTGATGGAATTTGGACTTGACTCCCAAGGACAAAAATTTGAATGTGTCAGTGTAAGTATATTAAAAATAATGAAGTCTCAAGCGACAGATTGATGGAAGTGTTTCCATGATTTCCATGATTTCAGTGATTTATTGGAACATAGGCAGCTTTTTTATCTTTTACCATCCCCACCCCCCACTTTAAATCAGGACCCAAAAGAGTTCATTTTAACACTAGGGCTGCTATGATTCGCCCAGACCTCATTTTTATTTTCGATATCGGTCCTTTAATTCGATCATTTTTCATTCTATTCTTCATACAAGTGAAAACATCAAATTCATTTAACTCTCAGAGTTGGCATTTTTAGCTTGAAATCCATCGTCAACTTCGCGTTCTGCTAACAACAATTCTCATTGTATAATTAGCTGGCATCACCTAATTTCAGCGCTTGAAACTTCTCAAGTTGCAGTCAAAATTATGTTCTTTGCTGTGTGGAAATAATTTATATAGGTATTCAAATATCGAATCGAAATAGTGATAATGGTTATTGAAAATTGAAACTGACATTCAGTATGATTATGACTAGATTGTGATTATTAATATGACACTTGAGACTATGAAAGGGGACAAAAACATGAAAGAGTTTATATAGAGTTTAGGTTTATTTAAAAGAAAATATGATTACTATTAACAGATGATTATTAATACACTGCTTATCAATGCTGCAAAGATCCCTGAATCATAATTACAAGTATCTACTTTGAAAGTGAAGGATATTGAAGTGAGGTGGACAAAGTATTTCTTGTAACTGTAGTTTAGTTGTGTCAGGTATGTCTGGTTTTTGCTGCAGATAAACCTAGATTTTCAATCAGGGATCCGAACAAACATTATGAAATGAAGGTATGTTTTGTTTCTGAATCCTGTTTTAAACACAATTGTTTTAACGAAATATGTGATCAGCAAATGGTGGCACCTGTTTGACATGTTCTCCAGGCTTTACTGAAACATTCCAACAAAACAACCTAATGTGATATCATTGGCCTACTTCATTGTACAGCAATTGAAATTATGAGGTGAGGTGAGGTGAAATTGGGTTTAACGTCGTGCTTGAGAATATTTCGCTCATATGACGACGTGCATGCGTGTGTATGTGTATATGCGGCTGCTTGTACTAGCCCAGACTGAAGCTGGTTTTATAGTGCTAGCCCACTGGGATACCATCATGCCGCAGTGAAGCATGAATACCCCACTCAGACACATTATACTGACTCCGAGCCGACCAGTCCTTGTTGTACCCATTAATGCCGAGCGCCAGGCAGGGACCAACAAGTACCATATTTTAACGTCTTTTGGTATGATGCGGCCGGGGATCGAACCTGCGACCTTCCGCTCTCCGGGCGGACGCTCTAACCACTACACCACAGAGGCGGTCTGAAGTTATGAAGGGATGCTTTGTCTTGTTTATGAATGCTGTTTTTCACACAATTGTTTCAACAAAATGTGTGATCACCAAATAGAGGCACATTTTTACCAGACTTTACTGAAAGATCCCAGTTACAGGGATGAGAATGTTCCGCAGATCTGTGGAATTCCTTGGATTTGATTGTGCTGGGGTCATTGGATCTGGAATGGGGACATACCGGCCCCTAAGACCCCCAGCTCATTGTTTTACTCTTGTTTTAATCGTAGCCTTTCCCATCCCTACAGTTAAGGGGTTTTCTTACGCTACTGTGAACAGTGGTACAGAACTGTCATGGCATGACAACCTAATGTTGAGGGAAGTCAAGGTATATAGTGCTTACAAACCAAGGTTCATAAATTAATAAAGATCTTAGTTGAGCAGATCCTGGTGAGACCTAAGGGCATAACTCTGCACAGCCAATAGTGGCACCTTTCATGGGCCACACATAATATATGACTATACTGACTCCCAGTCATCCCCAGGAGAAGGAATGGTTGTGTTTACCTTTATTATGAAACCATTATTTCACAGGTAAAAACAATCAGTGATGAGAAAATTCCACACATCTGTAGTATACAGCCAGATGCGATACATGAAAACCTCCTTCATTTTGAAAGGATTATGACTCACATGGAGGGTGGCGGTAGGTATCGTCAATATCTTCTGAATTCAATATTTGGAGACTTCAATTAATGAATGCCATAAACACAAACTTCATACTAAAAACACTACCATCATAGTCAACACTTTGATAAAGTTCATTGAATGCTCCCGCTATTTTGTTATTCATAAATGAAACACAATGTCATGAAACAGTCAGGATTTCAATTTTAATTTTTTTATTTATCACAGTTTGAAATGTAAAATTGGTCTGTCATGACCATGGTCTACCATAGATTTGTCTGTGATGACCATGGTCAACCATTACTTTGTATGAGAACAACACCATGGTCTACCATAGTTTTGTTTAAGATGACCATGGTCTACCCTGGTTTCTGGTGACCATGGTCTGCTGTGGTATACCATGGTGACCATGGTCTACCATGGGGAGAAATGTTAGTGACCACGGTTTAGCATGGTAAACCATGGTAATCCATGGTTGACCATGGTCAACCATGGGCGAGTATGTACAACACCATCCCACCCCAACACTGTTAGTGTACACCACCATCCCACCCCAACACTGTGTTACCAGTATGTACACCACCATCCCACCCCCAACACTGTGTTACCAGTATGTACACCACCATCCACATCCCCAACATGCTGTGTGGTACCAGTATGTACACCACCATCCCACCCCAACACTGTGTTACCAGTGTACACCACCACCATCCCACCCACAACACTGTGTATACCATCCCACCCCAACACTGTGTTACCAGTATGTACACCACCATCCCACCCCAACACTGTGATACCAACATGTACACCACCATCCCACCCCAACACTGTGTTACCAACATGTACACCACCATCCCACCCCAACACTGTGATACCAACATGTACACCACCATCCCACCCCAACACTGTGATACCAACATGTACACCACCATCCCACCCCAACACTGTGATACCAACATGTACACCACCATCCCACCCCAACACTGTGATACCAACATGTACACCACCATCCCACCCCAACACTGTGATACCAACATGTACACCACCATCCCACCCACAACACATGTACATACCACCCCAACATGTACACCACCATCCCACCCCAACACTGTCATACCAACATGTACACCACCATCCCACCCCAACACTGTCATACCAACATGTACACCACCATCCCACCCCAACACTGTCATACCAACATGTACACCACCATTCCACCCCAACACTGTCATACCAGCACCTAAATGACAATTGAAGAACATGCACATTATCATCTTCAGCAACACCATCAACATGCCTTTTTTTGTTGGTAAATGGATTTTTGGAATAAATTGTGTAAGCTTCTGCTTATCTTTAAACTTATCCTATCTCACGGTATGCACCTCTCTTCTTCTTCTACAACCATGTGTGGAAACGTGCTGTAGGCTAAGTTGAATCAAAGGTTATCTGGCCTCTGACCACCCGACCTCTGCCCCCACTCCGATAGACTTAGGAAGGCGTTTCCTATTCTCGTGGTACTTACGGATATCGGCTGAAAAAATAACACAAACAATTCTTATCGTATGAATGCTTGTTGTTTTAGAATGAAGGGCCTTCTCCTTTATCATCTGTGTCTGGTTCGGTGTCTGGTTCGGCGCTTGGTACACTCAGCTCAGCTCTGGCTTTCAATGCGTCGCTTCTTACCTGCTCAGCTCTTGTTTCTTCTGATACTTTGGTTCCCGGTGCTCCGCTTATTCCCAGTGCGCCGTATGTTTCCTATGCGTCTTCAGCGGTGGGAGCGCCACTTTGCGGGAGTACTACTTTTTCCTCCTGTGGGACTGTCACAACGGGGGTAGGGTTTGGGAACTGGGTCATGGGAACTTCTCTAAGTCAGCTGGTTGCTCGTCTCTTCTTGGTGGGGTGCCTCGTCATCCTTCCTTGTCTGCTCCTGTTTTGTCTTTGCCTCCTGCAACGGAGCCTGTGGCGAGACCTCTTTTACCAGTCTCCTGGAATCCGGTGTCTGAGGATTCGATTTCTCCACCTGTTAACTTTGACGCCATTGTGCAAGCAGTAGCCTCGGCTTTACAGCATCAGGCGCCAGCGTCTTCCTCTGCTATTCAGTCATCTGGTCCTACGGCCACTCCAGCTCAACCTTTGGTGGATGTTCATCGTTCGGCTACGCCATCTCCCTCTTCAGATGGTACGTCGCCTTCGGATGTTAGCGTTGATGCTGTGGACACTCCTCAAGTACTAGTCTGGATTGCCAATAGCCTCCGACTACAGCGTAGTAGTTCGCCTTCGGATTTGTTATCCAGTTTTGACATGAAGCCAGGTGATTTAGGTTCTGTCACTTTCCCGCCTCGCCCTTGCGTCACTCAATTGGCAGCGTCTCTGGATGAGGCTTTTTGTAACCTGAGGAAGGTTAAGGATGGGTTCGCGGCTCCCCGCTTCAATTTAGCATCTGCTCATGTTCATGGCTTCTCTACCCTGATCGTCTCCCCTCCGGTGGATGATGATATTACGTTGTTGGGAACCAAACTTAAGCCTACTTGCCGTTCCTGGTCGAGGATCGTGAGCTCTTGCATCTGGATGGTGTCATCAGGAAGATTATGGCTCCACTCAACATGGTGTTGATGACTACTGAGGCGGTGGCTATGTTGGTTGCACATGCTTCGTCCCATCAACAGGCGTATATTCGGGCAGCGATGGTACTATTGCAAGAACAATTTCAGACCATTTTGGATCAGTTGGCTCACTTCATTTCGTACGTACAGCTATGCGTCGCAGGGGGCCTCTGCACTTATCCTCATGGGAGGATAGGTTCCGCACAGACCTTTTTCGTCAGCCGTGGTCTGGCAGGTCTCTTTTCAACGGGCGATTAGGGATGTCGCCACCAGAGTTGGTCAAGATGCTCATTTACAAGTGTCAGTGGAATTGTTGAAATTCCAACGTTTGCAGGTGGAGGACTCGTTGCGCCAGCGACGGCTTGCCCGTTGTGTTCCTTCTAATCCGGACCTTCGTTCAGTTTTTGTTGCTTCCTTTCATGGAAAGGGTTCAGGCAGAGGCCGTTCCAGCCGTCAGCGTCGGGCATTCACTGCTTCATGACCAGTTTCCCCTTCCGACCAGTCCTCCTCTCAACGACATGACAAACAGTGACTTTCTGACATTAGAGCATGACTGGGTTCTTCCACCTCCAGTCGTGCCCATCCAGACCTCCCCAGTAGGCGTCAGACTTGGGTCTTATGCTCCCAACTAGACCATCTTGGGCGACCCTTACATCCTCTCCACGTTGGCCAAGGGGTTCCAGCTGCCGATCATCAGGGATCCTCCTCTCACTTTACTTCCGGATCACAGAATGTATCCCTCTCAGCAAACGGCTGTTCTTCGATCCACAATAGACACCTTACTCCAGAAGCTTGCGATCAAATCCCTGGGTCCGACCCCGATCGACCCGGGGTTCTGTTCTCCAATCTTTCTGGTTCCCAAGGAGGATTCGGACAAGTTGATGCTAACCTTCAACATAAAGGTCTTCAGCGAGATGTTTCTGCAGCCTCCGCACCATTTTCGCATAGTGTCGGTGGCCCTACTCAAGACCATTATCAAACCGGGAGACTACATGGTCAGTCTAGATATCCAGGATGCGTACCTTCACATCCCGATCTTCCCGGCTCATCGCAAGTTCCTTTGGTCTGTCTTCGAGGGCACCCACTATCAGTGGCGTGTTCTCCCGTTTGGAATTTCTTCGGCCCTGTGGCTGTTTACACCAGCTTCCTCCACCACAAGGGGATAGTTTTCGATGCTTACATCGACGACTGCATTCAGGCGCAGACCAATCATGCCCTTCTGCTTCGTCACATGCAGTTTGCGATACAGCTTCTTCCCAATTAGGCTGGTTAAGCAATCTGCAGAAATCGGAACTAGTCCCTACACGTCGTCTGCAATTCATTGGAGCAGTGTTTGACACAGAGGTCAACAAACTGTTTGTCCCGAGGGATTGGTTTCCCTTGCACTAGCGCAACCCAGGACGCTTCGTCAATGGCAGGAGCTCCTGGGCCTCTTGACGTCGGCTCAGGCATTGACCCTCAGGGGTCAACTGCAACTTCGACCCTTGCAGCTCTTTCTAGCGCCTTACATCAGAGTGGGCGATCCGGTTGCCTTGATCACTCTACCTCTGGAGCTGCATCCCCATCTGTGGTGGATGGAAGAGTTGAATGTTTGCGTCGGAGTTTGCTTAGGGCCTTTTTTTCCGTCTCACCACCTGTATGTGGACGCATCTCAACATGGGTGGGGAGCTCATCTTCTCAATCTACAAGTGGCAGGGCAGTGGTCTTTCGCAGATCGCGCCTGTCACATCAACGTTTTGGAGTTCAGGGCAGTGATTCTTTCAATCAGTCACTGGCAAGATGTCCTACAAGCAACTTCCCTCATGGTCCGATCGGACAATGCAGCAGTGGTATGGCATATCAACAGGATGGGGTCAAAGGGGTCTGCTCAACTCCTGCAGTGGACTCAACAGTTCTTCGACCTGGTGGACTCTCTCAACATCTCTGTACGAGTCAACCACATTCCGGGGTGAAGAACGTCATCGCAGATTCTCTGTCCCGGCCGAGTCATCCTTCTCCAACGGAATGGAAATTACATCCTCAGGTGTTCCGGACCTTCTGCCTTCTGTTGACGACTCCGACAGTGGATCTATTCGCCACTTGGTTCAACCATCAGCTGCCTCTGTTTGTGTCACCGATTCTGGACCCTCTGGCTTGGGACCACGATGCTCTAGCCATCCCGTGGGACAACCTGAACGCTTACGCGTTTCCGCCAGTGATCCTTCTTCCTCGCATACTAGTGAAACTGCGCGCAACTCAGCGGATGACACTGCTTTTGGTCGCGCCCTATTGAAGTTGGTTCGTAACTCTTCAAAACCTAGCCGAACCACATCCCGTACCACTTCCCGATCAGGTCGATCCGCACTCCGATCAGCTACATTGGTCCCCGCTCACGCTCTATCTTCACGCTTGGCGTATTTACATCGGTCGTTAACGACCAAGGGCTATTCAAAGCGTGTTGCTACTGCCATCACTACAGCACTTTGCACTTCTACTAGGTCACTCTCCGATGACAAGTGGAAGAATTTTGAAGCGTATTGCAGGAAGAATGGCATCACATCTCCCACTACGGCGTTCCCGCAGATGGTGGCAGAGTACCTTCAGCATCTCCGAACCTCCAGAAGTCTCAAAGGTTCTACGCTATCTACTTACCTGGCTGCCCTTAACATGGTTATTGTGTCGGCCTCTGGTGTGAAGGTGTCCACTGTCCCTAAACTCCAGTCTCTCCTTAGGTCTTACAAACTTGCTGACCAATCTCGGAAGTTCCGGCCTCCAGCTTGGGATCTTTTGTTGGACTGGCTCATCTTACGTCAGCTGATTATGAACCTCTGGAGGAGAAAGGTTTTGAACATGTCACCTTTAAGATCTTTTTTCTCTTGGCCTTGGCCACAGCTGCCCGTATTTCTGAGTTGCATGCTCTCGATGTTTCTCGGATACGGTTTAAGAGGTCTAGACATGCTAAAGTTTTCCTTGGTTTGCGGTGGGATTTTCTTGCCAAGAATCAGTTACCTGGACAGCCGGATCGCATGTTCATGATCCCGCTGTCTACTATCTTGGGCCCTCATGACATAGAAGATCTTTCCTTATGCCCGGTTCTAGCATTACGGATTTACCTAGCAGCCTTGCAGGATCGCCGCAGACTGCATAAGAGATTGTTCATTCCATTGTCTACTGCCTCCGCCTCGGAAGTCTCGCGAACTACCTTGGCATTTTGGATGAGAGCTACGATCCTGCGTGCTTATGCCTTTGCTGACCTACCTCCACCATCAACGGCGAAGCCTCATGAGACTCGGGCTCTTGCTTCCACCATGGCACTTCACAGGAATTGTTCCCTCCAGTCCATCATGGAGGGATGTTTTTGGAAGTCAGATACTGTGTTCGCATCACACTATCTGCGGGATCTCTCGGTTACAGATGTGGAAGGTCTACATCAATTCGGCCCCCTGGTCCTGGCGCAGCAATTGTCATCGGCCCGCGTTCGTAGATAAAGCAATCCTTCTTTGGTCGGTTTTGCTCTCTACATAATAAAAGATATCGATGTAATCCATGTCTTGGTACTCTTTTCATTTGGGATTAGCTCATTCTCACCTAGGGAACTAGGGCGTGTTTGCACTGTCATCACTATGACTGGATGGACTGTGAGGCAAGTCTTGTGCTACATGCAGCGATGGTCGACATTCTGCTTACTGACCTCTACTCTTTGAGCAATTACGTCAGTGGAGTGTTGATTTCCGATTACCTACATGGTTTTCATGCGTTCCGCTCCTAAGTTCCATTCTCACCTTTGGTTAGTTAGGGGGATTGGTTCTGAATGTTTAAATAGTTGAGCAAATGGGATATTCCCTCTTTCACCGCCTTCCAGCGTGTGTCTGTGGGGGGTAGTTCCGAAGCAGGGACTGGCCAGATTAAGGTCCTCGACTTTAATTCACTGGGGTCACCTGATAAATCACGGGGCGGCGGGGCCTACTTGCCAAACTGCGTCCTTTTGCTTGTCAAAAGTTGCGGCTGAAAACCACATTAATTCGGGAGCGCCCACTCCCTAGAGTTGTTGTGCTGTGTAAGCCAAGGGGTTACCTGAAGAAACCCATCTCAAGTTTGGAGCTTGCATATCGGGAGTTGGTGCTTTCTCCTGGCCTCCTTAGTTATGCGTCTTCACGGTTGTAAGTATTGACAGGGTAATCTGCGGCCCTCCTACCAACCGTGGTATTGTGCATACCGTGAGATAGGATAAGTTTAAAAATTTGAAAATTTTAATATAAATTGTATATTTATATACTTATCCTATCTCACGCGATGGATACCAACCCGACCTGCCCCACTTCCCAGATTACTGGAAGCTCCAAGACGAGAATGACAGGCACAGACCGTGACGTGATCATCTGAGCGATCTGCACGCTTATTGAGATGATTGACAGGTACTGCTATCGGAGTGGGGTCAGAGGTCGGGGGGTCAGAGGCCAGATAACTTTTGATTCAACTTAGCCTACAGCATGTTTCCACACATGGTCATAGAAGAAGAAGAGAGGTACATACCGTGAGATAGGATAAGTATATAAATATACAATTTATATTAAAATTTTCAATTCTGTAGAGCTGTCACAATATATCATAGTATTGATAATCGTGATACTTTATCTGACGATAAATATATTGATACTTATTTTTGTACTGTGATATGTATCGTTGAACTTAAAATTTAAAATTTTCACTAGAAGTGGACAGTTATGTCAAAATTTACACTGTTACTTGCAATCAAAATATACTCTTTAAAGGAAAATAACTAAAGATAGCGTGATATGCATCGAATCATATTGTTCCAAAATATCGCGATGCATATCGTATTGTGAAATGTTTGTATTGTCACACCTCTATTATTCTGTTCATACAGCAGTGAAATCCTGGTTTGACAAGTTTGAAAGGAATGAGGCCTTCCTTTGCTACATCCTCCGCTACTTCCTCCTCCTCAACTGGAAACACAATCTCTGCATCACAGAAACGGAGTTCTGTGCGCTCGTCGCTCTGGTGTTTGGTTACAGAGACGAACGATGGTACCAAGGACTTGCCTTGAAGCCTTCTCCACGCTGTGTGACGATAAGTTCTTGGCTCCAGGTGAGTTGTGGTTGCCATAGCGACTTCAGTGTTTGGTAACAGAAATGAAGCTTTAAATGCTACAGTGATACCTTGGTTGGTTGGTTGTTTGGTTTGTTGTTTAATGCCGCACCTAGCAATATTCCAGCTATATAGTGGTGGTCTGTAAATAATCGAGTCTGGGCCAGACAAACCAGTGATCAACAGCATGAGCACCTATTTACGTATTTGGCATACGATGACGTGTCAACCAAGTCAGCGAGCCTGACTACCCAATCACGTTAGTCGCCTCTTACAACAAGCACCGGCTAATGAAGATCATTACCGGATCTTTAGGGCATGTTTTTTTTTTAAGGGGAAGTGTACATGATAAAATCACATTTATTCTTATGTGAAACAAAATGAAATATTTTAATTATTTAATATCAATGTTTGAAATTATACACTCATTTTTCTTACAATGAAAGTATAACCCTCAAAATAAGTTCTGAAATGTTATGCAATCGTGTGGCCCTTGTTTGCCGAGCGAAAAAGGCCAGAGTTACCACACTTTGATTATGATGTAATTGTTGCCACTTGATTTAGACTGGTCTCCTGTCTAGTCCCAAATCAAAAGATGATAATACTGAAACATTAAATCATGTGAGAAAAGTTTGTGAAAATGCGAAAGAAGCATGGGGGGATAATTCACCTTGTACATGCTTCTCCATAAAAATCATCATCACACCCCCTGTAGCCATAAATTATGAATGGTCCTTTAGAGACAGTTAACCAGTACAGCCTTCACCATCACCGTTAACGTTCACGCTGGTGCATATGGACAGTATATCTTTTCCCTTGACCGATGATATATCAAGTGTGATATCCTGAAATATTTGTTATGTGATTCCATGATACACCGGGGATAGCCATGACTGCTTATATTGCAGTAATGAATCGCAAAATGGCCATTCGAAGCTAGGCGGTGGAATCAGCTGATCGTTTTCAGGTCATATTTTGTTGATGTTTTGCAATCGGTAATTAAAATCTGTCACTAGATGTCTGAATATCACACTTTTAAGCCTGCTGTGTATTTTTGCATATGTACTCAGATCTATATTGTATTACTCCGATTAGGCTACATTCATGTCATTCAGTACGGCCGGGAGCTGATATTGTGCACGAAATGTGAAAACATTGTTATGCAATGTGTGAATTCCATTGTGAATTTTATCTGATATTTTTGTATGATGGTGCGTGTGTACCTTAATATTACATTACACATGCATGACTTTATTCAGTCATTGTACAAAAGTATTATCTGTTAAATTTGTTAAATAAATAAATAATGCATACACATATCTACATGGAATTTATGTCATCGAAAACATATTTGATTTTAAACACCTTTTTAATGTTAATTCCTAACAAACAGACATAACACTAAAGTTATAAAAATGAAAATCAGAATATAAAGCTATATCGAGATAGTATATGATCTGTCACGTGAAATATTTTATCAACATAATGTTACTGAAACATGAAGATACATATGTCTTTCTATACACATATAATTCTATCATACACATCCTCTTGGGTGGTCAGAATGATCCGTTGTTTGTTGAGACAAATCTCTGTAAATGAGTACTTATGTTTAGAGGTTGAATGGTGTTAAACTTTTGTAAGAAATGGATCAATGAATTAACATATATAATGACTCACAGCACTGACTGATCGGCACATTTCATAAGGGCTAAATCTTTTATTTCAAACTATGATGACTGGTACTTATGCTGCAACCGACTACTTGGATAATAGGTGTATGGTACATTAAGTATGCGTCAGAAACAGTGTCAGAATTTATAAACAAAATGAAATATGTGAAGACCTGCTGTTGAAAACGTACTATTCATATTTATAATTAAAGGTTACATTCTACACAGAATTTCTTCAAATGTCAGGGATGTGTAAAAATCACAAATCTGCGATAAAGGTCTTCCAGGGAATACAGGTCCGTTGGTTGGAGGTGTATCTCCGATTCTTTTTACATTGAGGTCGGTGGTAGTATGAGAACTATTTGTTAAATTTGAATGTGGCAATAGTTGAAGAATTGCCGTTGGAAATAACATAAGGGCTGATATATAAAGTGAGTTTACATTATTTCATAGATGCTATGACACCCGAGACTTACACTGTCTCATGTTCTGTCGTGTAGGAAATGCCGTGACAATATACCGATTTTTCATGGCGTTTTCCTGTTATCTTCTATCGTGTCAATTAGTATTCGTGGACCTGCAACCAGTGAGCTACCAGTGGACGACAGCCTTTGACTGGTGGCCAAAAAACCTACAAAAAGTGATAAATCTCTCCAAAAATAAAGAAAGTGCCAGTTTTGAAGAACTAACTTCGTTTGTATTCTGATCCAATGTGACCTTCAAAGAGGCTCTATTAAAAGTTTGTAGAATAATTGTTCCATATAGGCGCCAGGTGAGAGGTGAGAAACATAACAAAATATGTGGATGGCCTCATATGTCTTATGAATGTCAGCAGGGGCATCCGTATCCCTGGACACAATTTTTTCTTGCTTCAAACTGCAACGTCATCACGGTGTGGTGACTGACCACATCGCCAGCTGACGGCTAGGCAATAGCTGGATTAAAACAGTAGCCTGCGCATCGAAACACTAGAACCACGCCTATACCTGCACCAAGTGAAACGGATCTAGCAACGTCATTCGTTTATCGGTCTGGCACCAATGACGTCATTTCCAAGGGACATAAGCCATGGTGTGTTTATTGTGGACATAGAACTCTCGGTTAATGTGGAAAATTTGAATCGATATATATTGCAAAAAATAAATAAGTTACTTCTGTTATCTGTACTGTTTTGGCTATAAAACAACTTGACAAACATGTTTTGTGATGAAAAAGTGCACGACAATTGAATTGAAAATACACATCAAATAGAGATAATAGATTAAGAAATTACTGATATCTTTAATTGTTGTAAAGATATCTTTAATTGAATTGAAGATATCTTCAACTGAATTGGAGATACAGTATCTTGAAATGAATTAAAGATATTTTCAAAAGAGATAATGTCTGAAAAATTAAAGATATCTTGCATAGAGATATTTTTTGCCATTCTTTCCTGTAACTTGTATTGTAGAAATCAGTAATTTTGATATCGTCAGAATTATTACTGATATCTTTAATTTGATTTTAGATGTCAGTTACGTAAATGAGTTAAAGATGTATTTGTGGATGTGTTTGAATTAATTCAATTCTAATACACTTATGTAGACTATGATTGTAATTGTTTTAGTGATATCTAAAGCAAATTTAGAGATATCACAAAATATTTTCTTGACATGTCAATAACATATCTGTAAATCTAATTTGGCTATCAGAAAATTAATTAAAGATATCTTTAATTATTTACAGATATTTTAAAAACATTATTGATACCTTGAGATAGAATACAGATATTTAAAAAACAATTGAAGGTATCTTTAATTTCTTAATAAGTGTGAAAACAGCTTGCAATATTAAGCCTTTTGCAGTTCCAGTAGGCTGAGATGTTCATGGTCAAAGGTGGATTCTTCTGACCTTTACTACCAGTGTGTTGGCATGTTGCTGAAAATACAACAAAGTCAACAAAGTCAGCAAAAATTTAAGTTTGGCGGAACAGATAAAAGGATTTAATGCTTCAACTTGTAAAATGTTCCATGGTATTCTTTTGGCATAATCATATGTCATTGGATTAGTGAAGCTATAGCTTGTCATTCTTCATCCTGCCTTAGGGGCGGTGGGGTAACCTAGTGGTAAAGGCTTTCGCTCGTCATGCTGAAGACCCGGGTTTGATTCCCCAGATGGGCACAATGTGTGAAGCTCATTTCTGGTGTTCCCCGCCGTGATATTGCTGGAATATTGTTAAAAGCGGCGTAAAACTAAACTCACTCACTCACTCAGCTTTGAGACTGGGCTGATAATGCTTGCATGCAGTGTGTGTGTATCCTTTCAAATGCCATTTCAAAGTTATGCAAATGTGATTTATCAAGTCTTTTATGGGGAATTTAAATAAAAAATGTAGCAAAACTTGCCTTCAGCATGCATACTCCTTTCAAATACCATTTCAAAGTTTTGCAAATGTTTGGCTCAGCTGGAATGTTCACAAGAGTTTTGATGAAACAGTACCATGTATAATTGTATATTTATTTTTAAAATAGTTAAGTGGTTGTCTTACGCTACTGTGAACAGTGGTACAGAACTGTCATAGCATGAGAGCTTAATGTTGAGGGAAGCTAAGGTATATAGAATAAGAAACCAAGGTTCATAATAAAAATCTTTGTTGAGCAGATCCTGGAGAGACCAATGGGCATAACTCTGCACAGCCAATATGTGGGCCACACATGCTCGCTGTAGTGCATTATTATGACTAACATTATTATGGCAATAGTGTTTAGTTTTCACGATTGCAAACGCAGGAGCCTCGACTAAAAAATCTGACCAAAACTGTCAGCTATACCAAAGTGTAAGGACAATAACTGATCTGTGCATGGGTCACATTGGTCACATTGAAGAGCACTCCCTTACTCATCTTCCCATGTCTCATAGTCTTAATTTCATCAACGACTCGTGAAGATCCGGGTTAGAATTGATCTTCAGTAACCCATGCTTGTCGTAAAAGGCGACTAACAGAATCGTGTGGTCAGGCTCTCTGACTTGATTGACACATGTCATCATATCCATATTGCATAGATCAATGTTTAAGCTGTTGATCACTGGATTATCTGCTCCAGACTGGATTATTTACAGACCACTGCCATATAGCTGGAATATTGCTGAATGTGGCGTTAAACTCACTCACTCAGCCACACATTCAGATATACAACATACTAAGCTCTGATTAATGTCAGGCTTTTTTAGAAATAGTCCTGTATGACAACATCTTTGGCATCCCAGAATACAGATCTTGCCTTCACAATGCTTTCATGGTTTCATTGTTGATTGGAAGTAGTAAACCCAGGTTTCATACATGAGATTTGCACAGATATACAGCATACACAGCTCCGTTGTTGTCAAGTCTTGTGGAAAATAATCCGCTATGATGACATCCTTTGCATCCCAGAATAAGGAATCCCAGAATTCCTTCCCATCTGAGGATCAAAATGCTTCCATGGGTTTGAATCTTGTTTGAAAATAGTAAACCCAGGTTTCATCCAAGCTGTTCCTGAAACGTTTCAACTTTGCTGCCAACATCTATACTGTTGGTGTCCCCACCAATGGTTGCTACAGCCCTAGACCCCTGCTTTAAGAACCTTTGCTTCTTGGAAGACAACTGCAGGATCACATTGTATCCCTCATCAATGGTGATGCTCAAGCTGAAGGTGGAGAACTCTAGGATGATTACAGTGTTCCCGGAGTCAGTGAAGTTCAGGTCAAACAGGAGGAGGAGATCTTGCCATCTCAGAAAAGAGGCGAAGTTCTCTGAAAGTCAGAATGCCATGATGATGTCTCAGCCAAGACCGCCAAGCTGGAATAAAGTGACTTTCAAGCATCCTTCAACAAGTTGTCAGCCTCTCTCCTCAGAGGCAGTTCATTCTCCTTGCACTGGTGGCAGGAACCTACAGCCGTCTTCCTGAGGCTAGCTGTTCTTGCTCAACGATATTTGAGTATTCCCAGGACTAACGTTCCCTCAGAACGGGCCTTCTCTACTGCCGGCCCGACCATTACACACCAGAGGGCAGCACTTGATCCGAAGACATCCGATGCAATGAATAAGAATATGCCTAAATCATCTGCCACTGTTCCCAGCTCTGCTGCTGCAGCATCCATGACACAGCCGACGTCTTCTGCCCTGCCTCTTGTTAAAGTTCAGCCAAAGATGACCCTTCTGCCCTCCCCAACTTCCAGTCTGCTGAAGATTCGGATCGAATCAGTGAGATATGATCCACTCTCGAGTTCATCACTAGTGAGATAAACGTGTTCATTGCTTTTTAGGGGGGGTCAGTCACATTGTACATGCTCCTCCATAAAAATGATCATCTCCCCCCTAGCCATAAATTATGAACGGGTCCCTAAGTTTACATAAAAGTCTACATGTAAAACGTTATAGGTTCAGTTAGAATATCACATCTAAAGGTAGTTGTCTGTTAACTGAATATATAACTTGTCTTTTTCATTATTGACTTAACACACATTTACATCATTGGTATTGTCCGGTTAATGGAGGTTATTATTAACGACTGTAATTTATATGCGCATGAGCAGTGAGTACTCAAGTCACAGTAGCAGTGGGAACAAAAAGTTCTGTGTTTTAACCAGGAATGTAAGTAACGGTATTAATGTTTATATTGGTTAAACAGACGTGAATTAGCCTAGGATCAGTTTCAATGTCTTATTGCCATCCTTTCAACCTCTCTATAATAATGTATGTCAAATCGTGATTGAATATGCAGAAAGTTGACAGAAGCGCTGTATCCTGTACATTTCCGGGTACACGATTACGATTCGGGTAAGTACATGCAGGTATTCGATTCCATATTTTCCTACCCTTCCCAGCCCTACTAGCGGCGTTGTGGTAGCCTAGTGGTTAAAGCGTTGCTCGTCATGCCGAAGACCTGGTTTCGATTCCCCTGTGTAAAATGTGTGAAGCCCATTTCTGGTACCCCATGTTGTGATATTGCTGGAATATTGTTAAAGTGGCATAAAACTTACTCACTTTCTCCTTTATTCCAGACTTTATACCAGCAAGCCTGGAAACTTCTTGCAGGAGCTTTATATCTGACCAGGGAGTTCCCAACACCAGCTGACTTGTTTTCTGGAGCTGTGTGGACCGCATACTATATTTGCTCCACAGGCAAAGGTAAGTACTGCACATTTATGTCAAAACAGTTACGGTTGGTCATAAAAGGCTAAATAGCAATGAAAAGTGTGTGGATGGAACACAGATAGAGCACTGACAATTGTTTGAGTGAGTGAATGAGTATGGTTTTACCCCGTCTTTAGCAATATTCCAGCAATATCATTGCAGGGGACACCAGAAAAAGGCTTCACACATTGTACCTATATGCGGAATTGAACCCGGGTCTTCCGAGTGATGAGAGTACACTTAAACCACTAGGCTAACACCGCCTATCTGACAATCAGAGATGATTCCAGGTTTTCTCAAAAGAGTGAGGGGCAGTGGGGTAGAATAGTGGTTAAGGTGTTCGCACGTCACGCTGAAAACCCAGGTTCGATGTGTGGCATAATGTGTTAAGCCCATTTCTGGTGTCCTCCTCTGTGATACTGCTGGAATATTGCTAAAAGCTGTGTAAAATTTAACTCACTCTCTGACCAAACTTGGCACATAGATAGGTCTGGTGCATGCTCGATAATCTCCAGGGTATATGTTCCTGTCAGTTTGTCTGTATGCGGGGGGATATAGTCAATGCCTCGTCCGTCCGTCTGTCTGTCCGTAATTCTTTTGTTTCTGGAGCATAACTAAAAAAAGGGAGGGATGAGATTCATTTCTGGAACACAACTTGAAAACGGTTCAATATCTTTCTTCAAGACTTGGTACATATATCAAACATAAGCTTAAGTGGTGCCTTTTGCTATTTGCAGATTTATGTCATGTTTATTTTTCTTGGTTTCCATGGAAAACGATTTGGACTTAGTCTCAAAAGGAAAGGGGTTTGGTTCGGACCACAACTCGAAAACCGTTCAATACATTTCAACAAAACTTTGTAGATATATAAAACAGAACCTAAAGTGGTGCCTTTTGCTATTTACGGGGTTTTGGCATATTTATTTTTCTTGGTTTCCATGGAAACATTTTGGAATTAGTCTCTAAATGGAGGTGTTGGCTTCGTTTCCGGAGCATAACTAAAAAAAACCGTTCAATATCTTTCAACAAAACTTGGCAGATATATCAAACAGAACCTAAACTGGTGCCTTTTGCTATTTACAGAGTTTTGTCATTTTATTTTCTTGGTTTCCATGGACACGTTTTGGTATTAGTCTCAAAAGGGAGGGGAGGGCTTTGATTCCGGAGCATAACTTAAAAACCGTTAAATACAGTTTAACAAATCTTGGCAGATATATGAGACAGATCTTGAAGTGGTGCCTTTTGCTATTTACAGATTTTTGTCATTTTTACTTTTCTTGGTTTCCATGGAAATGAACTGGACTTACTCTCAAAAGAGAGGCGTGGGTTTCGTTTCCAGAGCACAACTTGAAAACCGTTAAATATATTTAAGAAAAACTTGGCAGATATGTGAGGCAGATCCCAAAGTGGTGGCTATTGCTATTTGTAGATTCTTGGCATTTCTTTTCCCCCCCTTGTTTCCATGGAAACGATTCTGACTTAGTCGCAAAAGGGAGGGGTGGGCTTCGTTTCTGGAGCACCATTCGAAAACCGTTCAATATCTTTCAACAAAACATGTCAGATATATGAGGCGGATCTTGAAGTGGTGCCTTTTGCTATTTACAGATTTTTGGCATCATACAATTTGGACTAAAAAATCAAGCTGGACTAAAGAAAATCAAGCTGGACTTTAAGTAACTGTCAGATGATTTGTTCTTTCAAATATGTGGGGGCTAGGGGGATATGTCATCTTCTAATAACTCTTGTTTCAGAATTGCCTAAGACTGCATCAAGACGTTGTAGACGGGACCTGGAGTTGGCCATAAGGCTGAACATGGACATCATACAAGCACTCAGTGAGGGTATATTTGACTGTGGACAAATTGGAAAAGTGAAAGCGACAAAAACAATTCGTCAGTCAAGCCTACAAGACAAGTAGTGGTGAAGAAGAAAATGGTCATTTTTATGTCACTTGTGAACACAAGACAAGGACAGTTTCGAAAAGGAAACCCTGGTATTACTGACATAATCTGATTGGCAAGTAACACTATCAGAACTGAGCAATAGATTTACTCTGATGAGTCATGTCAGATGCTCTTCACACCCTGATTGTTGGACCTATACTAATGTTTGTTGTTTACTGCACACTAACTATACTTCTGAGGTCTAATTTATAACGTTCATGTTGATAAAGAAGTGCTAGGTTTTATGTGCAAATCAGTCGTCATTATCACCTGTAACCTCACACCATGCTTATCACTTCTAACCTAGCACCAAACATCTCAAACATCTTGTTCCTACGAATATTGGTATGTTTTCATGTATAAATAGTACTTAAATAAAGTGGCCTTGATATGTTGAAATATTACCGATGTGACTCCCTCATTCACTTGATATGTTTATGCAATGTATGTTTATTATTATACCCCTGCTACGAAGTGCCTTTTGCTATTTTAATTTGTGTTTGATGGTTACCTGGCCACAGCATATCATCGAAACTATACATGCTTGGTTCACCAAACTTAATACGCAAGTTAATCATGACCCACAGATATGCCATGTGCTAAAAAATAACAATCTTCATCTACGTCCACTTCATTGTGTGCAACAAGTTCAATTGTATGTCAGGTTTCCTCGGGAAAAAAATAAAAAAAGTAAAAATTACTACTGTAATGTTGTTTTATTGCTGTTTCCATGGAAACACGATGTAGTGCCAAATGTGTTTGATGGTTTTGTCCGGAGCATATCTCTTAAAGTTTACAAGCTAGGTTCACCAAACTTCACACACATGTTAATCATTACCCATTGATGTGCCTTTTGCTATTTTAATATTTCTTCAGAATGTTGTTTTTTTGCTGTTTCCATGGAAACACGACTTAGTGCCAAATGTGTTTGATGGTTTTGTCCGGAGCATATCTCTTAAAGTTTACAAGCTAGGTTCACCAAACTTCACACACATGTTAATCATTACCCATTGATGTGCCTTTTGCTATTTTAATATTTCTTCAGAATGTTGTTTTTTTGCTGTTTCCATGGAAACACGACTTAGTGCCAAATGTGTTTGATGGTTTTGTCCGGAGCATATCTCTTAAAGTTTACATGCTTGGTTCACCAAACTTCACACACATGTTAATCATTACCCATTGATGTGCCTCTTGCTATTTTAAAGTATTTTCAGAATTTGTTTTTTTTTTGCTGTTTCCATGGAAACACGATGTGGTGCCAAATGTGTTTGATGGTTTTGTCCGGAGCATATCTCTTAAAGTTGACATGCTAGGTTCACCAAACTTCACACACATGTTAATCATTACCCATTGATGTGCCTTTTGCTATTTTAATATTTTGTTCAGAATTTAGGTTTTTTTTGCTATTTCCATGGAAACACGACTTAGTGCCAAATGTGTTTGATGGTTTTGTCCGGAGCATATCTCTTAAAGTTTACATGCTAGGTTCACCAAACTTCACACACATCTTAATCATTACCCATTGATGTGCCTTTTGCTATTTTGCTATTTTTTTCAGAATTTAGTTTTTTGGGCTATTTCCATGGAAACACGACTTACTGCCAAATGTGTTTGATGGTTTTGTCTGGAGCATATCTCTTAAAGTTGACATGCTAGGTTCACCAAACTTCACACACATGTTAATCATTACCCATTGATGTGCCTTTTGCTATTTTAATATTTTTTCAGAATTTTGTTTTTTTTTGCTATTTCCATGGAAACATGACTTAGTGCCAAATGTGTTTGATGGTTTTGTCCGGAGCATATCTCTTAAAGTTTACATGCTTGGTTCACCAAACTTCACACACATCTTAATCATTACCCATTGATGTGCCTTTTGCTATTGTAAAATTTTTTCAGAATTTGTTTTGTTGTTGTTTTCATGGATTCATGACTCAGTGCAAAATGTGTTTGATGGTTACCTGGCCACAGCATATCATCGAAACTATACATGCTTGGTTCACCAAACTTAATACGCAAGTTAATCATGACCCACAGATATGCCATGTGCTAAAAAATAACAATCTTCATCTACGTCCACTTCATTGTGTGCAACAAGTTCAATTGTATGTCAGGTTTCCTCGGGAAAAAAATAAAAAAAGTAAAAATTACTACTGTAATCAATACATGGCAAAACTATTATCTAACATGTATATAAAGTTTAGTAGAGTCAAGGAGAAAGTCTTGTGAGCTGCTGATCCTTGTCACATTATATATATCAATATCAGTCATTTCCATGTCCCAAAGTGGGAAGCGGGGGTATGTGGGCTGTGCTCACTTCTACACTTGTTGACGAAGCCAAGAAATGATTTTTTTTACTTGAAGCATATGTAAAGTCTTGAGTCAAGGCGCGAAACAAGTAGTTGTTTAATTCGAATAACATTGTTGAAGTCATACAGACATTATTTTGATGTCATGTTTCACAATGACGTCAGAGGGTATAAGTGTGGCTATCATTCCTCATAGTATCCCACTTCTCCCACTAAATTTGATTGGCCGTGTCATACCAAAAGATGTTAAAATATTGTACTTGTTGGTTCCTGCCTGGCATTAATGGGTACAACAAAGACTACTCGGCCGGAGTCAGTATAAAATGTCTGAGTGGGGTGTTCATGCTTAACTTCGGCATGGTATCTCAGAGAGCTAGCACTTTAAAACCAGCTTAAATCTTGTACAAGCGGCCACACCTACACATGTATACACACGTATGCATGCACGTCGTCATATGAGCGAAATATTCTTAAGTGTGACGTTAAACCCATTTCACCTCACCTCACCTCACTAAATTTGATTTGTCAAAGAATTCACTATCCTTTGAGAAATATCAGCATTCAGACATTTGGCAAACCGTAATAATATTTTGTGAACTATCAAGTTGTGTATCATGAGTTTCACTTTGTTTTCCTTCTCCGTTACGTATTCAACTAACTCGATAATCAAGTGTCTGTAAAATCGAGTGTCAATCTTGTCATGCGTAATAAAGCACTTCCTAGTCATCATTTCCGTGTATTTAACACCACATCCCTTGTTTCGGGTCTTCCCATTATGACATCAGTTGAAGAATTGAGATGTTAATGTTAATTTATTTATTCATACTTTTTATCCCCCCTGCATGTAATGCGGGAGATATAGTAGACGCCTCGTCTGTCCTTCCGTCCGTCCGTAATCATTTTGTTTCCAGAGCATAACTCAAAACCGTTCAATATCTTTAAACAAAATATGGCAGGTATATGAAACAGATGCTAAAGTGGTGCCTTTTACTATTTACAGACTTTTGTGATCTTTATTTTCTTGGTTTCCATGGAAACGTTTTGGACTTAGTCTCAAAAGGGAGGGGTGGGCTTAAGATGATTTGTTCTTTGAAATTTGTGGGGGCCGGGGAGATTTGTCATCTTCTGATGACTTTTGTTGATGTTCTTGTTGAATAAACAAAAAGATATGCAACTTCCATTCCTGAGTTTATCTTGGGAGCTTTTTTTTCTGAACAACGTCTGGAAGAAAAACATCTAGAGACAGCCTGTAATCTCAGTGCCCTCCTGTGTGGGTGCGGTTGGGTGGCCTAGTGGGTAAAACACTCCTGAAAGGCTTGGTTTGATTCCCCACATGTTTACAATTATGAATCCCATTTCCCCAGATCCATGTGTGTGTGTGTGCGCAGGGGTGCAAGCCCCCCCACCCCACACCTTTTGTCCAGAAAGTATATTAAATTACCATTGAAAGTCTGATGAAACAGGTTGGAAACGAACTGCACAACACCCCACCCCACTTTTTATCCCCCCGGCATGTAATGTGGGGGGATATAGTCGACACCTCATCTGTCTCTCTGTCTGTCCGTAATCATTTTGTTTCTTGAGCATAACTCAAAAACTGTTCTATATTTTTCAACAAAATTGGTAGACATATCAAACATGATGGTTGGTTCTTTCAAATTTGTTGGGGCCGTGGGACTTGTCATCTTCTGATGACTCTTGTTGATGTTCTTTGTTGAATAAACAAAATGATATGCAATGTGCAATATAGTGATTCTTGACGTTTGATTGGTTTATCGTATATTTGTACATTTCCAATGGATGCTGGAACTACTTTGACACCACTACATTCATTCATATTATTTCATCAATTCATTGATGAATTGACCGTGCAGTAATCCGCTGATTTGAGATTTCAAAATAAATTTTTTAAAAACATAGAACCATATAGGATTTCATTTTTTATTCTTATTTAATGCGTCATTTCATACTTCATTATATGGCGTCGTTGTTTTGTAATGAAAATTGTCTATAATTGATAAAATCGTATTTTGGGAGCACCTTTAGAATTTATCACCACAACTTCTCACCAAGACGTTCTCTGCCGTAGGTCACATGTCACAAAGACAAGCAACCAGTTTGTGAGTATCCGTCAGACGTGAACACGCGACCTTTGGATTGTTGGCCTGACTGAGCTACGTCCACTGTTACACAATGTTTAAATTTTTCGAGTCATTCCTATGATGGAAAGAGTCGAGTGAGTGAGTGAGTTTTGTTTTAAGCTGCTTTTAGCAATATTCCAGCAATATCACGGCAGGGGACACCGGAAAATGGGGAAAGAATCGTATAAGTCACGGGCGATTACGAAGGTTATTGGTAGACTTGGTGTCTTGTGATTTTAATGCCATTTGGCACACTCGTCCTATTCCATAATGTACAAGATACCGTGTGGTGTGGAAGGAGCCGATATGGCTCGAATTGAAAACTGATGTTGACGGCAGGCGTCTGACGTCGATTTCATGGTGCATGCATGAATGACATGCTTTTATAAAAATCGTCGGGTGATTTTGTGATGGCGCGAGGGTGAGTTAGTCTTCGAATCATTACTGAACAAATGTAGCAAGTGGAAGTGGCTTGACTGCAAGTTCCAGGCCAATTTCCAAAAGCCCAAAATTTCTACATTAAATCATTTCATAGTGTACTTTCGACATTTTTGGTCTCCCGTTTTTGTGTCAAAAAAAAGAAACACAATGAATGGTATTCATGCTTTACACCGGACATCTACCTACTATACTGGATAAGGTCCCTTACCCTAACCCTAAACCTAACCCCTTGAAAAATACAAAAATACACAAAATATCACACCTCAGCACCTCCTAATACCAATAAATATGAGCGTACATATTAGTGAAAAAAAAAAAATATTTTAAAGTGATGCTTGCGAAAAATTGCACATCCCCCGGTAAACAACGACTGGAAACACTCAACATCGTTGGGCTTATGCAATGACATAGCTGGTTACTGCGGGTACGGTTATCTCCCATTTGACAGACACCCAGTTGACAGACACTGAACTAGAAGGTTAATTAGGGCAACACCTACGGGTATAATAGAACTGTCCACTGTCTAGTGAGTAGAGCAGGGTGAGCCTGAAACAGGTTCGTTACTGAAAGTTTGATTGTAGCCTAAGGTAAATAGAACTTTGTTGTTTATTGATAGAAAAGACCCCTCCCAATAATAGCATATGTACAACAGAAGTTAACCGAGAAAACGTTTGTTGGAGAGATATAG